TTAAATTAGGTAATTTAGGTAAACTGTTACGCACAGTTTTCAGGCGAGTTTAAGGGATGTGGCCCAGGTTGCACACACACACTTGATATATGAGAAGTACACCTGAGAACCCAAATCTGGTATTGTGATTTCCTTGGACAGTGTTCTTTTGGCTGCATATTCAGAGTTTACATTTTGGTTGTTGAGCCATTTTCTTTTAAAAGCACAGTTACAACATGATAGGGGTGAGGGACTGTTTAGATAAATAGATTTCTAGTGTGGGTTTTGATGTCAAGGAGGCAGAACCTGTGGACATAATGGGTGGAGCTTTGACCAAGTAAAAATCTCATTTTGCTTGTTCCGGGATCTGTTGCTTTTGGAGGAAAAGCAGGAGGAGCAGTAGCGGAACAGTTTCCCTGCTGTTCAGCATGTAGGCTTGTTTAAAGGGCCAATCTAGAATAAGTAGATTATTGGCTGAGCAGAGTTAAACTCATGTCTGAGAGTTAGAGAAGCATGGCTAGTGTTAAACAAGAAGCTATGCTTCAGTCTGACTTTGATGTCTGCCTTGCTTATGCTGTAGGCTAATTTACTGTTAATTTCCATCTTATCAATTTACTCCCTTTTCCTCTAACTGTAACAAGTCTATTTAGTCTTTTATGATGGATTTTACAAAGAAAGACTTTTGCTCAGTGTTTGTCATCATAAATTCTCATTGCTGCTGCTGCCCTCAAAAGGATTGTGTAAAGGAGGTGGGTAAGAATTTCTGATATATACAAAAGGTGTATTGTAGCCATTTGGTAATATATGTAGCAATATTAAATTGTTTAGAATGTTTTTTAAAATACCTGCATTTTTGTGGTTAATTTCCACTACATTTTGTATGAGGAAGACGGAAGCTTTTCTCAATTCTAAATGGTGAGGAAAGATTTTACTTTTATGAAAGTATAGATAAATGTTACCCTAACACATTTGAAACCTGAGCTTTTAAGAAGCAAGTGCTGGCAGTTTTAAGAGCTAGAATATTGAACCAGAGAATATTATATTATGACTCACTTTTATTTTTCCAGCAGATTAGTTGGCAAGCCATAAGTATATAGAATTAAAAGAAAAACTAAGTCTGTAAAATGCATGTATGTCTTTTTCATTTTTCTTAGTTCAAATCAACATTTTATAAACATATCAACTCTTAGTGTGACTTTGGGGGGAGCCACAATTGTTTCCCTTCCTTCCTTCCTTCCTTCCTTCCTTCCTTCCTTCCTTCCTTCCTCCCTCCCTCCCTCCCTCCCTCCCTCCCTCCCTTCCTTCCTTTTTCTTTTCTTTCTTTCTTTCCACTCTAAAATTACACACAAGTGGCCTTTGTTTTTGTTTTAAGACAATACATAATTTTGTATAAACTCTGAAGTAAATGGATATACATTAGATGCTCAAGAAGTACTTTTGTTTAATGCAGGGAAACATGCTACTCTCCCATGTCAAAAAAACATAACATAGCACTATTTGCCTAAAGAGAGATCTTGTGAATTACAAAAGTAAGCAAGGATATTTCTAGAGCCAGTGAGTTGCTGGCTGTAGAAGAATGGAGTAAGAGGGTATGTCTCTAACCAGATTTTTCTTATGTGTAAAATATTAGCCCAATTTATCTACCTTAGTACTCTTTTCTTCTGATTTTGTGTTTTTAAATCTCATTCAGAACTAGTGAGCAAAACTTTGCCTTTACTGGCCAGAACTGCACTAGAATAGTACTTAGTGGGGTCAAATCAGGAAATAAGGGAAAGAGGTAACATTAGGATTTTAAAGGTTCTAAGTTGATTGTCTTTGTTGAAGTATATGAACTAAAAGGGAAACAGATGAAGACAAAATTTTATATTATCAAAATACTTTCTCATCATTACTTTGTTTTGTCTGGTGCTTAAAATCATGTTTTAGAGTAATCTACATCATTTTTTAACTTAAAAAATCATCAGTTACCAAAAATATTTTTAAATATATTGAGTTCTTTCATTTCTTACGAAGCCTATAGGTATGATGAATGTGTCAAAACCTGTACTTGTTTATTTTATTTTTATTTTTAATTTTTTTAAAGATTTTATTTATTTGACAGAGAGAGACACAGCAAGAGAGGGAACACAAGCAGGGAGAGTGGGAGAGGGAGAAGCAGGCTTCCCGCGGAGCAGGGAGCCCGATGCGGGGCTCGATCCCAGGACCCTGGGATCATGACCTGAGCCGAAGGCAGCCACCTAACGAGTGAGCCACCCAGGCGCCTCTGTACTTTTTTATTTTAAGCAGCTTTTTATTATATGTCCCAGATGACTTTTCTGTAGGTCACTTTCAGGGTTAGTGAGGTTTCATGCTCATTTTTACATTTTGGGGGTCACTTACAGTATACAATCCCCATATATTCTTGCTTCTCAAATGATTCAGAATACTTCTGCTAGATATTTTGATAATCCTGGCTTCTTGATGGTAGCTGACTGGTAGCTGAAATTTCTTCTACCCTTTTCATTATCTAAGTGGGTAACAGTAAGCCGCATTAATCTTTTAATACCAGCTGCTGGTATGTTATATCTCAATTTTATTGGCTACCTTGGCACCTGTAATATGTTTTTTAAGTTGGCAGTGGCATCACAATGTTATATAGCATTGGTGTGGAATTTTCTATATTTGAATCTTGAATAGGTTGAGAAAGCAGCTTAACCTAGTAGATTCAAGGTGTTACACGATTCACAGTTGCTGGTTTGCTATTACGACATTATATAGCTCATTTGTTCAGCTAGTATTTCTATTTGTAAGTAGGAATTCCTATTTGTAGAGTAGTGAATGTGAATATGTTTGCATGGGTAGGATTAACAAGAGTATTACTTATTTTTAAGGGTAACAAAGGATAAAAGTAGGTTCACTGTAGATCTTGGTGATTATTTTTCAAGAGAATTCTTTGCTTCCTTTTAACCCTAAGCTTTATTATCTTTGGTGATTGCCTCTGAATTCAAAAGTGACCTTGGGTCAGCAAACTTAATTCAGAGAGCTTTCAGTCTAGATACTACATCTGATTTTAGCTGCTGTGAATATAGGATGGTAAGTTGTACAGATATTATCCCCATTTGCTAGACAAAGAATCTGAAATCATCTTTCCAAGATGCCTGTGCTAAATTGGAACAGAAGAGTCTTCTAATATAATCAGTGCATGTGTGTCTTATTAATATGTAGTTTTACTGCCTGAAGACCAAACTACATACCCCTAAAATATATATGTTTATAGAAGAAGCATTTCTCCTAATCATATTCTATATTTTCTTTAGCCATTTTCCTGTAGTATTTGAATTGTCTTTACATGCAAAGGCCAAATATATATTAAGTGTCTAATTTTACCAAAGAACATTCTTTCAGATAATTTTCTGTCAATAGTGAATGTTCTACAAACTTAATGTAAAGTATTTTAGGTTGTTCTTCACATTATGTTTATAAATAGCATCTTTAAAGTTTGCTTTTCTACAGTTTTACATGTTTATTGTAGAACATTAAAAACAAACAAAAAACAAAATCTCCAGTGTTTCTACTACCAGAGAACTTTTAGAGTACGTCATTCATTTTTTTTCTTAAAACCGTTCCTATTTTCTAAAGCCTTAGTTTGAAATATCATACCAGCTTGCTCAATTAAAGCAGCCTTTTGCTTCAGCAGCATTATTTTCTTGTTCTCATTAGAATTATTATATGAAGACAGAGACCAGTTGGGAAAACTTAGCTGGATTTGAAAAATAAGAAGATTGAGGAAGATTGTGACCTTTTAGTCAGTACTTAGAAACTAACCTTTTTAAATGCATGGATTTAACTTTTAGGGTCAGCCCTGCTGACACTTCTTTGGTGTAGAAAGTTAGCCCCAGAGGTAGAGGTAGACTCCTCCAAATCAGGAGTTTTTAATAATGCAATTGAGTAATTGATGAGAATTATCCCATCACAACTCCAGTATTTAAAGACTTTTTAGTGGTAACCATTTGATGCATTTCATTTCAATCTATGAGAAGTTACATGCATTCCTGTGATTTATCAAATTATTATCATTAATTCTGTTTTAATTTGTCTTGTCACTGAGACTATAGATGATTAAACTTTATATACTATATTCTAGCTTTTCTAGTCCCCCTCCCTCATTTTCCATTCCCTGTGTTTTATGTGTTTAGAGACTTACAGTGCCACTTGGGCAGTATATTAGTGCAGCTGCTCCCTGTGGTTACTTAGACAAGGTGGGAAGAGAAAATGAGATGTTTTCTCCATATCACCTTTTAGGAGTATTTTGTTACATCTTACATATATTTTCCACACATTGCTGAAATTTTTATTTGCAAAAAATTTACACTTATGAAGATTCTAAAATACTGCTAGGATACTACATAGTATTACATATAATAGCGGTATTGAGATTTCTTCTGAAATTAATTAGAAATCTTGTCTTTTATATGGATCTGATATATCACTTTTCATTTTATGTTTCATATGTACAAGACAATTTGTTCTTCTTTTATCAAGCTAAACCAATCCAAATCCTTAACTCCTATACTTGTTGAGGTTGTTAGAGTACTATGATAATAGAATACCTGCCAAACTAAGCATGTGAATTCATGCCCATTCATGGATTCATTGTTAAATACTGCGTTAATTAATGTGTTAGGGAACAAGGCTGCACAAAAGATCTAACCTTTTAGAACATTTGGCCCTTCTCTTTAGCCAGTAACTTCCTTTACCTGAAACACAGCAGAAGATATGACAACAGCCTCAATTTTTCCTTACCTACATATGGAGGCCATGGAAGTAAGTGACCACGCTATCTATTTCTTGTTTTCTTGTGGGAGCTAAATTGCTACTACCCAACTCTGACCCTGCAATGGACCAGCTCCTGTAGGCAAATCAGAAAAAAGCCAGGATGGTGAGAGGCTAATCTAATAGAACCTTAAGAGGCAATTCAAAATCAAAGTTCAAAGAACCTGCCTTTATTAATGTGTTTTTGTTGCTATTTTTATGTTTCTCAGGGAGTGAAGCCAGCCAGTTTTGACAAAGTAGCAATTCCTGAAGTGAAGGAAATTATTGAAGGATGCATACGGCAAAACAAAGATGAAAGGTAAGTTGCCACTTTTGACTTAGGTGTTGCTTAAAAACGTAAAATGTAATGATATGCTCTAAATACAATACTCAATCTGAAGTGTATTCAGTACTTCACTTGTGTCTCTCTCTATTTATGTCATGTAATATCTTTAAAAGTAGAGTTCTGGGAGTGCCTGGCTAGCTCAGTCAGTAGAGCATGCTGCTCTTGATCTTGGGGTGGTGAATTCAAGCCCCCATGTTGGGTGTAGAGATTACTTAAAAAATAAAATAAATTTTTTTAAAAAATCTTAAAGAGTTCTGTCCATTTAAGATAGTATTGAGATTTGATAGAGTGAAATGTTGTAAAAATGTGGTATGGTAGAGTTCAAGTGAACCAGAACCACCTTAAACATAGTGCTGTATTCAGTGAGAACTACTTCTAAAACATGAACTACTTACAAAGCATCAACATGATTTATAAAATTCAGTAGGGTTCAGTCTCTCTGACCAACAGATCTGTACCTAATTCTTTACCCGTTGAATTCTAAAAGGTGAAATAAAATCTTGGCTCCTTAAAATAAGATCAGCTACACATCTTGATTTGCTGTCATTGTGCCATAATTTTGAAGAGCAAAACATCAGCATTCCTTTCAGTAAAAAGAGACAACTTTGCCCAAAGCTTAGGAGGAGATTTGGCTTAGTCATTTGTACTAATAGGACTTTTCTCAGAGGAGTGGCAAGTATCTGATCTGTCATATAGCTGATTCATCACCCGTTAGGCATGGCAAAGATCCAGTGTCTGTTTTTGAAAAATAATCTACCCACACCATCCCCCCTCACCCTCCAAAAAAGAAAAAGTAGACCAGCCAGTATAAATATAAATTGTAAGTTGAGCATAATCTACCTCCTGAAGAATGTGAGCAATCAGGTATATCAACCAAATTAAAGAATTCTGTATCTTCACTTCTCCGGTCTCCTACTATTTTCATAACTTTGTTATTTATCTTTAAGGCTGTTCAGTAGAAATTTAGTTTGGGTTTCTAATTTTATATACAGTGTTTGGAAAGGAGAGTCCCTGGGCGCCTGGGTGGCTCAGTTGGTTAAGCGACTGCCTTCGGCTCAGGTCATGATCCTGGAGTCCCGGGATCGAGTCCCGCATTGGGCTCCCTGCTCAGCAGGGAGTCTGCTTCTCCCTTTGACCCTCCTCCCTCTCATGCTGTCTCTCATTCTCTCTGTCTCAAATAAATAAATAAAATCTTAAAAAAAAAAAAAAAAAGACTAAGAATTATGGAAAGGAGAGTCCCTTATCTAAGAACTTTTTTTACTATAAACAAAGGAGTATTTGTTTCCAGTCTTAGAACATATTACTCTGTTTCTTTTTGGATGGTACAGTTTACTAGATTACTGGTATTTTGAAACCATTTATCTAAAGAAGATTATTCCACATTCAGACTTCTTGCCTAGTACACAAACTGTTGAACAAGGAATTGAGAGAATTTATTGTGGTAAGTAAAGTTGTAATAGAAGGTAAAGAACTAGAAATCAAAAAACTTATTTTCAAATTTTGATTCAACCATTTGAGGCTTATAACCATGAGCAAGATTTTCACCCTCTCTGAGCCTTTGTTTCCTAATAATCAGGAAATAATATCTCATTGGATGTTGGTCAAGGATCAGATGGGATCATAAATAAGAGGAGTATTTGTTAACTATAAATTCTACATAAATTATGTGGTATTTTGAAGCTATGACATTCTGTATATTACTTGCCATTGTTAGTACATTGTTAACTAATATGAGATTAGATCACTTAGATTAAAAAGTATTGCTTTTAGCTCTTATTTATAAATGATGTTGTATAACTTGAGAGTAAAACTATAATCACTGTTCACATGGAGCAATGTAGAAATGAGTTATAAACTTGGTTTTTTTTACAGTCTTTATTATTCCAAGCATAACAGTTATCAGCCACACTTGAAAATTATGTTTTCAATCTAATGTCATTTTGTTTTGTTTTTGTTTCATTTCCCTCTCTTTGGAAGATATTCTATCAAAGACCTTTTGAACCATGCCTTCTTCCAGGAGGAAACAGGGGTACGGGTAGAATTGGCAGAAGAAGATGATGGAGAAAAGATAGCCATTAAATTATGGCTACGTATTGAAGATATTAAGAAATTAAAGGGAAAATACAAAGACAATGAAGCTATTGAGTTTTCCTTTGACTTGGAAAGAGATGTGCCAGAAGATGTTGCTCAAGAAATGGTAAATTAACATGGATGGAACTAAAGGGTATTATGCTAAGCAAAATAAGTCAGAGAAGGACAAATATCACAAAGATTTCACTCTTATGTGGAATTTAAGAAACAAAACTGATGAACATTGGGAAAGGGAAGGAAAAATAAGATGGAAACAGAGGGAGACAAACCATAAGAGACTCAATTATGGAAAACAAACAGGGGTGCTGGAGGGGAGGTGGGTGGAGGGATGGGGTAACCGGGTGATGGGCATTAAGGAGGGCATTTGTTGGAATGAGCAGTGGGTGTTATATGCAACTGATGAATCTCTGAATTCTACCTCTGAAACTAATAATACACTATATGTTAATTAAGTTGAATTTAAATTTAAAAAATGGTAAATTAGCATTGATCCATCATTTAAAAATTTATGTATATTTATAAACGTATTGTTGAGCAAAAAAGTTTATGAAGCAGTGTGGATGGCAGATCTCATTGATAGAAAATTGTGTTGATTAATGGCCCTAAAAGTTATTTGTAATTGAGGAAAAGATATGTACATGTAGATATGTAAGGATGGATAGATGGATGGCTGGGTAGATCTAGAATGCATCCTGAAGTAATGTGAAAGTCTATGAGGTTGAATGACTCCTAATTTATATAATCTAATATATATATATAATATATATATATAATAATCTAAATATCGATACATTTGATGAGTCATTTGGATACACTCTATAAATACATAATGAATTGTTTTTACTTTGAGGGAGTTTTCAAGATCAGTTATTAGTAGGCAGCCTTTGATGAATCACTTTATGAAGTATATCCAAAAGGTGACTTTTCAGAAAAGAAAGACTTCACCAATTTTATGCTTGCGATAGTGCTTAAAATAGCCAGTTAATATGCAGAGATACTCATAGAATATCTCTACTAGAATTTATAAGAACTATTCAATAGAAGTTGCCTCTGAGAAGGGGTTGGGTATGAAAGAGATACTTATTTTAATTGTTAGTTTTTTATACCTTTAGAGATTTGTGTGTGTATGTTTTTTTAACTTTCATGTATTGATCACAATTGTTTTATCTGGTTAAGTTGTTGCCTAGGGAAAAGAAGTAAAAACAACACAGGTTAATATTAATAGTTACATGTGAGCAGGAAATAGAGTGACTAGAATAAAAGGAGACTTATTGTTTTATTGTTGTAAGAAGTGAAGGTATAACTACCTTGAGTTTCTACAAAGTTTCTACCTTGAGTTTCTACAAAGATGATGGCACCCATCCCGTAAGTATCTACAAAAATGGTTGAGAAATGCATAATACAGACAAGTAATTTCACAGTTTGGTTAAGAGCAGTCATTGGAGAGGTCTTTCTCTTCCCCTTTCTTCCTACTTTTTCCCCAAAGGTGCCTTTTTTGTTTTATATTTGGTTTGTTTTCTTTTGATATCGTACTGCTTCCTAATGCACTCTTTTATCCTGTAGGTAGAGTCTGGGTATGTCTGTGAAGGTGATCACAAGACCATGGCAAAAGCCATCAAAGATAGAGTGTCATTAATTAAGAGGAAACGAGAACAGCGGCAGTTGGTGCGGGAGGAGCAAGAAAAAAGAAAGCAGGAAGAGAGCAGTCTCAAACAGCAGGTAGAACAGCAATCAAGTACTTCCCAGGCAGGAGTCAAACAGATCCCGTCCGCCAGCACTGGCATGCCTACTGCTTCTACCACTTCAGCTTCAGTTTCTACGCAAGTAGAACCTGAAGAACCTGAGGCAGATCAACATCAACAACTACAGTACCAACAAACTAGTATATCTGTGTTGTGTAAGTATTTTGGGAAGTGCACAAGTATGCTAAGAATACTCCTAATTGACTTTTCATCTTCTTGTTCATCATTTTGCACTGGCCTCTTGGTTTGAAACATGAATTCACCATATAATAAGAAATTTGAGGGGCGCCTGGGTGGCTCAGTCATTAAGCATCTGCCTTCAGCTCAGGTCATGATCCCAGGGTCCTGGGATCGAGCCCTGCATCGGGCTCCCTGCTCAGTGGGGAGCCTGCTTCTCCCTCTCCCACTCCCCCTGCTTGTGTTCCCTCTCTTGCTGTGTCTCTCTGTCAAATAAGTAAAATCTTAAAAAAAAAATTGAAATGATCACCATCTACTTTTTGTTTCTATTCTAACATCCATCACTAATAGACTAGAAGGACAGAACAGTAAGGAAATGTGATTAGGATATAAAATAATTTTACAGGTTCCAACATCTTGGAAGTTCCAATTTGTAGATTTTTACTTTTCATAATTCCTTAAAATAAAATGTAATCATGAAACTAGTATTACACTCTATGTTAACTAACTGGGATTTAATTACAAACTTTTTTAAAAACTTAAAATCTACAAAAATAAATAAAATGAAATGTAACTAGTAATGAAAAATGAACAAGTTTATCTTACCTATTTGTAATTGAACCTGTTAGTCTGGTTCAGCTTTTTTTTTAGCAATGCTGAATAACATACAAACTAGAAATGAATGAGGTTGTTAGTTTTTTATTGAACTGTCTGCTTAATACAAAGAATGCACTGGTCTCCAAAGTTAAGACTGATGGCTTACAGCATTCCATTTTATTTCCCTTATTCTTCAGGTAATAAGATTCTATGATAGCCATGAGGGTTTGTTTGTTTTTTTTAAGACATCCTTTTTTCCATATGGATCCTTCGTGTTTTTAAGCATAGAAATCTACTTAGTTAAAAACTAGTATTCATGTTTTATTTAGGTCAGGTCTTTGCGAAGAAAATACTAATTAACCCTAAAGTCATGGGTTTGTGATGGGAAAATATAAACTTCCCTTTTGTGATTTGTCTCTCTGTTTTGTGACAATTTATTTCTCCTTCAGCTGATGGAACGGTTGACAGTGGTCAAGGATCTTCTGTCTTCACAGAATCTCGAGTGAGCAGCCAACAGACAGTTTCATATGGGTCCCAGCATGAACAGGCACATTGTACTGGCACACTCCCAGGGCATACAGCTTCTGTTGTCCAAGCACAGTCTCAGCCCCATGGGGTCTATCCACCCTCAAGTGTGGTAAGTAACTGCATAAAAGAGTGTAAGCCTATAATGAGAGCCAATAGATGTATGTTAAATTCATATTCTTTCTACTATCCAAGTAATAGCATGAGTCTGAAGTAGAAAGTGTAAATGGTATATTTCTGAAGGAAATAGGAGTACAATTAGAGTAGTTCTGGCAGGCTAGGACATAAACATTACTGTGTGAGAATTAGCTAAAATTCGTATGTGAAGAAAGTATGTACAAGATTTAGACTAATCTGCATTTGATTAAAGATCATGCTCTCTTTAGCACTTTAGAGTTGAAACTGTTCAAAACAGCATTAGTTGGACATACAGATGATTTGGAGGTGGGCACAAGGAGACTTTTCAAAAGCTTACTTACTAAAAGATTACTGAGCATTTTTTGTAAGATTTCTTACTGTATAAAACAAAGGTAAGACATTCAAACCATTATAGAATGCTGCATGTGAGTACTTCAGAGTGAAGGAATCCTTTATTTGTATGACCATTTAATTTAGCGCTTGTGTTTAGTTAACCATTAGTTGCTATGCGTGTTCCTGCCTTAAAGTCTGTGTTGGACACAAATTCCTTCCCCAGTATACATTCATTTGCTTTTTCTCTTTATTTGGTATTGTTTTATTACAGATTTATTTTCAGAATCAACTTACAGAGATTATTTCTTGAAATATTTTATGCATTTATATATACATAAACACACACACACATAGCCCCATCTTTTACATTAGCCATTTTTGCTTCTCATATAGAAAATGTTAAAATAGATCTCAGGTAATACCCTATTTCTTTTGTTGACCCTCCGTGAAGTCTTCAGAGATAAATAAAGTACATCATCTGCCTCAGGAAAGAATTGGAGAACAACTGGTCACTGTATAGCACTTGTTTAGTGAGATCTTTAAGCAGATAGATTTTTTTCTTTCTCAGAAAGCTTTTAAATCTGAGTGTTACGGAACTTCTCTTCATTAAATGAAAATCTTTCTCAAGAAAATATTTCTGCTTGCTCTGTTCTTTTATCCTACAGCTTGAAATAAAAGATGTTTTTATGTTTCAGAGTCCATTCATCAGTCTTGAGATGAATGGCCACAGTAATACAAACTACTAATACACTGTTTTAACAGTCTACTTTTCTGGCCTTTAAAATAATTAGGTAGGGTAGAAGAACTTATAAAGACTATGTAGATGTATTTCTTTGTTCTGACATATTATTTGTCAGCATTCATATCCGTTCCTACTATTGTCCTAATTGATTTTTTGTGGATCATAATAACTAGATTTTTTAAAAACTAATCTCTTGGCTTCCCTTATCACTGGTGTCTGTATTTTAGAAAAGGAAATAGAATGATCATGAAGATTTTAAATATTTGAGCCACAAACATCCTGTATTTATTGATGCTCTAGAGGACTGTTAATGACGGCCTTGCCTTTTAATTTTCTGTGGAGGTAGCATGAGAAAAGTTATCAAATATTGAGGATTTTTTTAATCTTATGATTCCATTTCTTTCTTATTCCAGAAAGAATTTATTGTGGCTTACAATAATATATCAATGTGGAATATAGAAAAATTAGAGTAAAAAAGAAACAAGGGTGGAGAAAAATAGAACCAGGAATGAACTAAGTACGATAAGTATACTGATACTTTCGTACTTGCTACTGGTATTTGAGCCACAAATTTGGCTCAAAGCATTCTGTGCAACCAATTTTGGAAAAGAAAACATGATTAGTGACACAGTTCACAATACCTAAAGGAAAATAACGAGTTTTCTCAGGATAACCTTACAGTATTAGGTATACTGCTTTTTTGTAGCTATATTAAAATTTTTATGTTAAGGTGCCTCAGACTTTATAAACCTAAGTTGAATCATATGCCAAAAAATTGTTAAAGTTACTCTTTAGAGATTCACATTTAAGATAATTTTCCATTCACTACTTTAGTAAAACTACAGAATGTGTCTATATCTATCACGCATTACTTCTAGAAAACTAATGCTTTTCCTACTAGAAAATGACTTTCTACCCTCTACAGATAAAAATAGGAAGTGGAATAAATAAAATACTCTGAGCCAACAACTTTTTTTAGTCTGATGCCTTCTAAAATAGAATTGAAAAAGGTTTTCTGAGGTTTCCAGAGTTCCTGCAAAGTAATCCAGTCATAAAGTCTTCTACACCTTATAATAATAAGTTTGCAGAAAACTGCAAGCCAATGTTCATTGTATTCCCTGTTCTACTACCTCAGTCGGCCATTCTTATTCATACATTCATAACAATTGATGTTATTTCAGAATATTTAGGAAGAGAATTGATCATTATCATGGTTGTTGATACCCTGTACTTGACCAACAGTATAGAGAGAATAGTTGTGATCTACCAGTTGTGCTTTGTGGAATTATACCTCTCTTCAAAAAAATTGGATTTGTGGGATTGGGGGAGGATGGAACACTTCTTTATGTCAGCTATGCCCTATTTTCATTGTACATTTGGTTATTTTGTTTTCAAAGTACTGTGTTTTCATGTATGTGTTTGTTTTCTGTTTAGCCTCGTCATGGCCGTAGCATGTCGGTTTGTGTTCCCCATCTTTCTGCTGTTCCCTCTCTGTCCCGCATCTCTCCCAGTGCTCCTTCCACCCCACCACCAGTGCTGTCTGCACCTCTTTCTCCTTCCCTCCTTCGGACTGCCCCTGAGGAAACTTTTGCCGAAAAGCTTTCTAAAGCATTGGAGAGTGTCCTGCCTATGCACTCTGCCTCTCAGCGCAAGCACCGACGCTCCAGCCTGCCTTCCCTCTTTGTCAGTACTGTATGTAACCATAAACTTCCTGACAAATGAAAATTTATTGCCAGTGAATACATCCAGGCATCAAGAATTTTAATAAAAATTAAATAAATAAAAGGACTATACTTAGTAATATATTATGCTTTTAGGATACCTGTTCTTCCTATAGGAAACTTTTTTGTTACAAGGCTTTAAGGAGGGGAAAAAAAAGCAAGGAGGTAATGAGAGAGAATGCTAATAACACCCTGGGCACATATGAATATGTACACAATAAAATTTAGCTTTCATTATATTCTCCTATCCTCAACTGACCTATACAAATCCTTGCATTTTCATATATTAGTGAGGAATACATATTACTTCATTTTAAATTCATTGGCTTAATCAAAAGCAAATTTTCTCTTTAGCAGAAATTAACCCAAATACATTTTCTCTTCACTTTATTCTAAAGAGACATTCGTGAAGCTGGATGAGTCCATTTTTTCCCCATAGTGAAGAGTAATTAAAGAGTGAAAGTTGGTTTTTAATTTGTTAGCTGTTTAAAATGATGGGTTGGCAAACTAAAAGGCCATATGTTCCCTCGTGGAAATTTTTCTTAGATTGAATAAGGTGGGATCTTGACCCTAATGAATACATTAGATACACATGTAGTACATAAGATTTTCTTTGGCCCCGTTTATATCTATAAAAGATCTGTCTTTTAAAGTTTCATTAAACACTGTGGGACCTTGCTGCTGCTTTTCCAGATAGAGAATATAGTTATTATTCTGATACAGTAATACCAATATCTGCAGATTTTTACTTAAGAGAGTGAGTAACTATATAGTATTTTATGGCTTTGGGATTCTCCTTGAATAAACAGTAAAATGGAACATTCTCGTTTGAAATAAAGGCCCTCTTTTAGTTGTTGTGAAGAAGTAACAGTTAAGCTATTTTACTAATTTGATAGGGACCATCCCTACTAAAAGAATGAAACCAATCTACTCTTTTTAAAAAGAGTCCATGAAAGTACACTGTTTGCATTTGGCAAGGTGTAGGATTCTAAATTTAGAGTCTATGTCTAGAACTGCCTCTAAATAAAAAGTGCTATTAAATCAGTGTTCATTATATTATCCTTTTCACTTGATTTGAACACCAAATTATTCAACCCTTAACTAGGATCAGAAAAGTGGACATTCAGTGATTTGGCATCTGCAACATGTTTCATGTAGCAAAAGTAACCGCATCTAGTTTGGGATAGATGGGAAAAGGACATTACTGTCAGTAGTCAGTAGTGTGTTTTTTGCTGTCCACCAAAAATACCTCTTTTCTAGTTAGAAGGCATACTATTAGTTGATAAGAAAATAACACTGGAGCCTCTAGCACAGCACCAGATAAGAAGATAGAGTATAGGAAAACTTTGTATTGCAGGTTAAATTGAAGTATCTTCCATTTTAAAAATGTTGGGATTATATTGTCTTATTGTCTTCACTTAACTCTTACTATTTTAACTCTTTTTCCACTCGTGTAATTTACATTAAATCTTAAGAGTGAGCATATTAATTGGGGGTAAAAACAGAATAGACACTTAGAAAGTTCTTCCATTTCCTTTGAGAGAGGATGTTGTGGAAAAGCAGCTCTTACCTAACGCGAAGAGTCCCACAGACTAATTTTACTGACCCTGGATGTATTTAATGGATTTTTACTATGCACATAATTTTCATAAGCATTGTTATTTCTTTATTAATTATAAATTTGGTATAACCATTTCATACGGTTACACAGAGCTACCCAGTTTTGCATGTCTTACTGTAATTTCACATATGAATGTATGAATTACTTGTCTTATTCATGTTGATACAGCCTCAGTCCATGGCGCATCCGTGTGGGGGGACCCCAACATACCCAGAATCACAGATATTTTTCCCAACTATTCATGAACGTCCAGTTTCTTTTTCACCACCTCCCACCTGTCCACCGAAGGTGGCCATTTCCCAGCGGCGTAAGAGCACCTCCTTCTTGGAAGCCCAAACTCGCCACTTCCAACCCCTGCTGAGGACTGTTGGCCAAAATCTTCTTCCACCTGGTGGCAGCCCAACTAACTGGACACCAGAGGCCGTAGTTATGTTGGGCACTACAGCCAGTAGGATAACTGGAGAGCCATGTGAGAAACAGGTCCATCCTATGTTTGAACCAACTCAAGTTCACGGTGACTATAGACCTGGACTAGTACTTCCAGAAGAAGCTCACTATTTTATTCCTCAGGAAGCAGTGTATCTAGCTTACCAGGCCCAGGTGACAGAACAGTATGAGGGTATTCCATACAACTCACCAGTACTGTCAAGTCCTATGAAACAGATACCTGAACAGAAGCCAGTACAAGGGGGCCCTACCTCAAGTTCTGTCTTTGAATTTCCATCTGGACAGGCTTTCCTGGTAGGACACCTTCAGAATTTAAGATCAGATTCTGGATTGAGTCCAGGATCTCCCCTCTCTAGTATTTCTGCACCTATCAGTACAGATGCTGCACGTTTGCAGTTTCACCCTGTCTTTGTTCCTCATTCTGCGCCCGCTGTGTTAACTCGTAACAATGAGAGAAGCAATTGTGTATTTGAGTTTCATGTTCACACTCCAAGCTCCTCTTCAGGAGAAGGAGGAGGAGTTTTACCTCAGCATGTTTACCGAAATCGACAGGTTGCAGTGGACTTGAATCAGGAAGAACCACCTCCTCAATCAGTTGGATTACACGGCCGCCTACAGCCTGTGACTGAAGAACAGCGTAATTACCATGCCCCAGAATTGACCGTTTCTGTGGTAGAGCCTATCGGACAGAACTGGCCAATAGGAAGCCCAGAATATTCCAGTGATTCCTCACAAATTACTTCTTCAGACCCCAGTGATTTTCAGTCACCTCCCCCTACAGGGGGAGCAGCTGCACCTTTTGGCTCTGACGTCTCGTTACCCTTTATCCGTCTGCCTCAGACAGTGTTCCAAGAATCCCCACTTTTCTTCTGTTTCCCCCAAGGAACCACATCTCAGCAGGTTTTATCTGCCTCATTTTCTTCAGGAGGATCTGCACTCCATCCACAGGTTATAGGAAAACTTCCACAGTTCTTTTAAACTACCCTACTATGCATCATTACATTTAAGTTTTCTATCCCTCCTTTCCATTTATAAGGATTATTTTTAATTTTATTAGTAGAGTTTCTCCTTTTGGGGGGGGATTATAAACTACTTGTATATAAGAACAAAATATGAGAGAGAAGCTGCCTCGTTTACCTATAATGTGCGCAAACCCTTGAAAAAGAGAACACAAAAACTAGAATTTTAAGCACTCGTCAAAATCAGTTCTATTTGTACATAGAATAATTTCAACTTGTAGTGAAAATGTAAATGGCTGAAATGTAGAGTTAACTCCGCATTGATTATTTATAAATGCTAATGTGAAGTATTTCTTTCTCCTTAGAACAAACATGACTAGTTTTTTAAAAAATAGAAAGGATAACCTCTTTTTTCTGTAAAACGAAAAGAATGGAAAATGGGAAATTTTTTTAAGACTATTAAGAGTACACAAAATTTTCGTAAGTGTGGAAGAATCTTGAAAGACAGAAAGGAAACATCTTAAGAATATAGGAACAAATGAAAATGCCTTTTAAAATGGCATCATTTGAACAAGTCACTGTATATGTCCCAATAAAATATTAATCCATAAAATTGACTGTTTCTAATTTTTAGCAACAAAGTTATAATCTAGTGTGGGTGGTGGGTTTTTGTTTTTGTTTTGTTCTTTAAGAATTTGTGATATGTGTTGCAAGCTAAGAAACATATCTCAGGCCTTGGTTCCTTCCTCAACAAATTAAATTTTGTTATTTATATATATGGGTGTATGTACTCTCTTGTGAATAAAGACAAAGTAATGGACATAATAGAATTCAACAAGTGGAGTCAGTATTAACTATTTCATATATTCCATATATTTTATCAAATATATAAATCTTAACAAAATCAATATAGGAGTCTTTCCAATTATATATTCAAGGCATCATTTGGATCTTCTAAATTTTCCACTCTTACAAAGTATTATATGTTCTTGATACTTCCTTCCTATGTTCTTCCCTCATAAGGGGAATAAACAACCCCAAAAGTGTACATAAAGTATCAGTTATTTAGAATAGTTCTAAGAAGCAAAAAGATCCAGAAACTTGAAAATGATGCTGCATGGTATAAAATTACACTGCATGCAGGGTACTCACGTTAATGCAGTAGTTGTTAGCCTGTACTGTAAATCCTAATGCACTGCCAGCCATTCTTCTTTAAACATTCCAAAGTGAAATATCAGGTGGTTAATTTACAAACCTACTGCAGCAAGAATGTATACTTAGTAGTAGTTAAGATGCAGTAGAATGTGATGTCAGATCCAAGTAAGCTTTAGAGAAACCCCTCTAGACTGAAATGGAACACCAAAGGTGGGCCTTTTCATTTCCTTAACTTACTATATAAAATCCTGTATTCATTTCTCACTTTCTCATTTATCTTAACTTAGACAACTTCTAGGTCAGGGTTTCTCAAATTCATCACTACTGATATTTTAGGTTGGATAATTCTTTGTTGTGGGTTGTGGTTCTGTGTTGCAGGATGTTAACAGCATCCTTGGCTTCTAATCATTAGATGTCTGTAGCAGTCACCTCCCTCAGTTGTGACAACCAAATGATCCCTGGAAGGGCAAATAACAGGTTTTTTACATTTTTGGTAAAAGTCACCATGGCCCTACAAAGAAGTAGCAAAAGGAACCAAATTAGCATTATCAAATACCCTTTTGTCTTCAATTGTTCAGATATGGAATTTTTTCACATCGGTAGTCATACTACTATTTTCCTAATTATTATATTTTCAGTAAGAATTTTATTATGAATTTTAGTATTTTGGCCAGGTAAAATTATAGCTGGAGCACAGCAGTAGTAGGTTTTAACCATCAGTGGTTTTTGTGTGGGATCAGGATATGCTCTGTGATGTAATCCTTCTCTAACCTTTTCTTACAAAAGATGCCCCAGTGGTCTCTCCCATACATACTTAATCAAGCTAATACTTTATTTTGCTCAAGCACACTTTCAGGAGTTTAAATATTTATTGCAAAAGCCTGACCTCTCTATATACTTACGTAGGGCTTCGCTAATTTGTTGTATTCACTTCTTTCCTTCAGGCACAGGGGCAAAGCCAGGGTCAACCATCCTCAAGTAGCTTAACAGGGGTTCCATCTTCCCTACCCATACAACATTCTCAGCAGGTGAGAACAACTCATTGCTACATTTTATGGATTAACAGTAGCCAAAACACTGTTTAACATCTTTTCATGAATTAGATTCCTGATGTAAATAAAGGCTTGCTATGTTTTTGAAAGAAAAATCAAGAGGCATAACATTTCTTGTGTTCTTGTGTTTCTAAAAAGATTTTAGAAAATCGTTTTTGTTTAATGTATTTTTAAACTACTAAATTAGACATAGCATTGAAATTCAAAGGAATCATTGTTAACTGATACATTATTCATCTGCCATCTGAAATAGATGATTCTACACATAATTTAACAATACAAAGAATATCAATTTTGTTTTTATATTTGTGACTTACCCTTCTATGAGCATTTTGCCATTGCTTTCATTGTATTTGACTCTACTAATGCTAAACTCCTATTTAATTATTTCTAATCTGTGGGATGGGATATAAGATTTTATGCTAAGAGAAGCTGAACAACTACTTTAGGAACTTTTTAAACATTGCTTAAACTTTTGGTTTGGGGAATATAATTCCCCAGGGTTCAAGGAGCTCAAAAAATTAGTACAGTGTTGATGTATTCAACAGCAGAACTACTAATTCTGAAATTAAACATCTGTAGTTCAGTACTGATATTAGTTAATAGTAATTATTTGCATGGGAATAACGCTTTTTTGGCACTATTGAATATTTATTAACTGTTTCAAATAAAATCTGTAGTCACTACATGTGTCATAAAAACTTCCTGATGAACTATTTCATTGATAGTTCCCTACGAAGTGTGTCTTCCAACCACCAAATCATAAATTGGTTTCTCTATTAATTTTTTAAACAACACTTTTAATTCTTATTACAAAATAGTCTCCTCCTAGTCCAGCATGTGATCATACAGTCATTTGATTCTAGTTTAAGATTAAATGTTCCTTGTACAGGATTAGTTTGGTTATATGTTCATTTATTTGGTGACCCAACAGCCCTGTCTTCTAGAATTTGCTTTGTCTTGCTTTTGTTCTTTCAGAGAAGTAGCAAAATCTGTATATAATTATAGTTAAATTTGAGTAGTCATATTTTTGCCAACCTTAACAAATTCTATTTTAATTGTTATTAATAATCCCTAATAAGAATACAAACTAAGGGGCCCCTGGATAGCTCAGTCAGTTAAGCATCTGACTCTTGATCTCAGCTCAGGTCTTGATCTCAGGGCCGTAAGTTCAAGCCCTGCATTGACTCCATGGTAGACACGAAGCCAACTTAAAAAATAGAATACAAATTAAAAGTTACATAAAGATGTTTGAGGACAGAAGCACTATCATGGATACCACTGTCCTCGTTTGTTTATCTTTGGACACAGGCCAACACTAATAAACTGAGCAAATTTAAGTGTGTGCTCTGTTTTTCCTTTTCCAAAGGAATTTCTTATATATCTTATATGTGGGCATATATATGTATACTTACTAGCAAATAAAGATACTAGTTCATTGGTAAGAAAAATATGTGGTGGTAAAGGAGGGCAATTCCATAAAGGTCAAGCTAAAAGAATTAGTTGACTCTTCTGGGAAAAAAATGTAAATATGGCTATTGCTATATATAATACAAAATTTATGTGTCAGTAATGCTTTTTTAAGATAGTTTTATTTTGTGAATTATTTTAAATATAGGATGGTGTTTAAGTTGAGTAGAACCATAAAACTGAGCCCTCAATTTATATAAATATATGCAGTATAGAATACTTCACTTTTTTAGGATTACATAGCCAGTAAGTGGATAGAACTAAAAACTACAAGTCAGAATTCAACATTTCTAGAATAGTGAGGGTTTTTTGGTATTAAGGTTCTACAGGGACTTCTGATCCTGCAGAGGTGCTCAAGAAGCTGCATTTATTTGTTTCAGCTACTGAGGTTTTATGTATATTTTTAAAAAGGTTGTAAGCCCTTTGTACTATATGGGTAGGCAGAGGGAGAGGGAGAAGCAGGGTTCCCGCTGAGCAGGGAGCCCAGTTTGGGGCTCGATCCCAGAACTCTGGGATCACAACCTGAGCTGAAGGCAGACGCTTAACCAACTGGGCCATCCAGGCGCCCCAGGTGTTTATTTTTAGAGGTGAGTTTCACTTTACATACTATCAGTTTCCAACCCCATTTTAGGAAACCGTATCTCTAATTTTATTAGAGTGAGGAAAGAAAAGTACTTTAGCTAAAATTTATTTTATTTCATGGGTTTCTGGAATGTAACCAATAAGGGATTGCTTTTTTCATGTTTTTATCAAGAGTCCTTTCCAGTGCTATGCTGTATCTTAATGAGGTACCAAAAAATAGCTTCCTCCTACTAGAAAACTTAGTATTTCTTTGCCATATGCCATATAGGCCGTAACCCAGCTTACTTAATAATTTCTTCCAAAGGGTCTATCAAGATGGACCGATCAGATATCATTACTTTCAGAGGAGCCTAAATAATCTAGTAAACATATCTGTCAACTCCTACAAAACAAATAAGTGTGGGGCGCCTGGGTGGCTCAGTCGTTAAGCATCTGCCTTTGGCTCAGGTCATGATCCCAGGGTCCTGGGATCAGGCCCCTCATCGGGCTCCCTGCTCAGTGGGAAGCCTGCTTTTCCCTCTCCCACTCCCCCTACTGTGTTCCCTCTCTCGCTGTGTCTCTGTCAAATAAATAAAAAAAATCTTTAAACATAAAAAAAAAACAAGTGTAGTAGGTAAGATTATATTCAGTGTGCAAAGCACTTTGCCTATATTTTTATTTAATTCTTACATGAACCCTATAAGTATACTGTTACTATTTTCATTGTGCAGATGGGAAGGCTGAGATAAGATCTGGAAAAGAGTAATTTATCCAAGCTTACACAACTTATGAGAGGTAGAAACAATTTAAATCCAAGTTGCCTAACTCCACAACTCACCGGTTAACTACATCCCAATTATGACATAAAAAGAGATAAATTACATCACTTTCATGCAGGGAGGGAGGATATCAAGAAGGCTTTATGAAAGCGATAGCATTTTTTTTTTTTTAAGATTTTATTTATTTGACAGAGAAAGACACAGCGAGAGAGGGAACACAAGAAGAGGGAGTGGGAGAGGGAAAAGCAGGCTTCCCGCCGAGCAGGGAGCCTGATGCAGGGCTCAATCCCAGGAGCCTGGATCATGACCTGAGCCAAAGGCAGACACTTAACAACTGAGCCACCCAGGCATCCCAAGAGATAGCATTTAAACTGGACTCTGATTATACATTAAACTCAGATGTAAGAATAAAGAATATTCTAGACCAAAAGGGAAGTGGGGGGGACAGTGTAAGCAAGAGAAAAAGCACAAAGGTAGAAAAATTTAAGACAGAAACAAACCTTTTAGTTCAGTTTAGCTAGAACATAAATAAGTGAATATAAGGTTCATAGAAGAACTGTTTGAGTCCAAATCTTGATGTAAGCATGGGGTGAGAGAGGTAATCATATGCCCATATATAATGGAATTTTTTTCCTCAGATTTTCCCCTTTCCCTTAATAAGGAAGGAAATCAGCATATATTTAAACCTTTATCATACTTCTATATTACAGGCTTTCACTGTCCCTTTATTTTGAACAATAACCAAAAAAAAAATGTTAATGGAATAAAACAAAACATGAAAACACATATGCCTGTAATGACCTTAAAATAGTATATGTAGTTGGAAATGTTTATAGACAGTATCTGACAGAATTGGTTTTAAAATAAAAGCCAAGAAGTTAAACATAGATTTGGTCCTTATTCTTAGGAGAACAACTTGACTATTCCAGGTGCTATATGTCATTGTAAACAACTTGCTTAAAGATCATTTTAAGGAGTTAATACAAAGATTACATGAATATAAACCTGTAAGACAAAAGCAAAAAAAAAAAAAAAATCCAGCTGTCCTAGTATTTTTTAAGATTGATTTATTTATTTTAGAGAGAGCGAGCAGGGCTGGAGAGGGGCAGAGGGAGAGGAACAGAATCCCAAGTAGACTCCTCACCGAGTGCAGAGCCTGCTGTGAGGCTCAATCCCATGACCCTGAGATCATGCATGACCTGAGCTGAAATCAAGAGTCAGACACTCGGGCACCTGGGTGGCTCAGTCGGTTAAGCGTCTGCCTTCGGCTCAGGTCATGATCCCAGGGTCCTGGGATCGAGCCCCGCATCGGGCTCCCTGCTCTGAGGGAAGCCTGCTTCTCCCTCTCCCACTCCCCCTGCTTGTGTTCCCTCTCTCGCTGTGTCTCTCTGTTGAAAAACAAAACAAAACAAAAAAATCTTTAAAAAGAGTCAGACACTCAACTGACTGAGCCACCCAAGTGCCCCAACAGCTGTCCTAATATTATTTATGATGCGTGTCACTGCAAATTTTACCTCAAGACACAAGTTACAGGGAAAGTATTATGCTATGCTCCAGAAAACTGGAGGCTTCACAGTGTAGCTGCAGTGAAGATAAAGAGACTGGTTTATTCTGTGGGAAGAATTTGAGAGAGGTGGAGCAGTATTTCTAAGTTAATACATTTATGTAATATGCCATCTTATTTAGGTATGTAAATTAATGACTTACATAATGGGTAGTGTTGCAGTGTAAATCCCTTAAAGTTAAAATATATTCAGGTTGACCAAAAAGATTTTCTAGTTTCTTTCTTAGTGGAAATATGGAAAATTATTTTATATTCAGAGTTGCCTTATATTTGGATATATATGATATATCTTAGTTGCTGAAAATAAATGTTACATAATTCGGTCACCATTTGCTCCTGATTTTTTTTTTTTTTTTAAGATTTTATTTATTTATCTGACAGAGAGAGAGATAGCGAGAGCAGGAACACAAGCAGGGGGAGTGGGAGAGGGAGAAGCAGGCTTCCTGCCGAGCAGAGAGCCCGATGTGGGACTCGATCCCAGGACCCTGGGATCATGACCTGAGCCGAAGGCAGACGCTTAACGACTGAGCCACCCAGGCGCCCGCTCCTGATTTAAAAATGTTAAAATAAGAATACGTTGTCAGAAAAAATTAAAGAATAAAACAAACATATGACTGCTGTCACCATCGTGTTTCAGCATTTTGGGGGGTGATTTTAATTGATACAATAAGAACAAAGTAAGAAATATCAGGAGAGCAAAAATCTTATTTGCACATTATCATCTAACAAAATCTAGGATGTTCATGAAGGTGGCCAGATTCATAATATACATATAAAACAAATAAAAACAAGTCCTGGGGATGCAATGTATAGCATAGTGACTACAGTTGCTGTAGTAGTGTATATTTGAAAGTTACTAAGAGAGTAGATCTTAAACATTCCCATTGCAAGAAAAAAATTGTAACTGTGTGGTGATAGATGTTAACTAGGTTTATTGTGGTGATGTTAACTAGGTTAACTAGGTGATAGATCATTTCACAATATATGCATATATTGAATCATTATATGTCAATTAAATTTATTTTTGTATATACCCACACATATAAACAAATAGCTTATCTTTTTACCAGCAGTAGCCAATTAGTTGTATCGACCAGGATATATGTAAAAGGCTACTGGTTGCAGCATTATTTTAAGTAGCAAAAGAAAAAAAAATGTTCATTTTTAGGATATTGATACCATTGATAAATGAGAATAGCATGTTAGAGAACAGTATTTATAGAATGGGCATGCTTTTGTTTCAGAAAACATGTCATTGTGTGTAAATGACCACTTACAGGGGTGCCTGGGTGGCTTAATCGGTTAAGCGTCTGCCCAACTCAGGTCATGATCCTAGGATCCTGGGATCGCCCCATGTCGGGCTCCTCGCTCAGCGGAGAGCCTGCTTCTCCCTCTCCTTCTGCCTCCCACTCCCCCTGCTTGTGTGGGCGCACTCTCCTCCTCTGTCAAATAAAATCTTTTTTTTTAAAATGATCACTTATATGTAGAGAAAAATCCATAAAGGTGATGACCAAGCCACTAAATAGTTTGCCTCTGGAGATACGGGGCTAGGGTATTTCATTTAACTTGATAATCTGATAGGTTAGTTAAATTTTTTATTACAAACAGCTGTTTTTGTATTATTTATTTATTTATTTATTTGTTTTTTAAATTTTATTTTATTGAGAGAGACAGAGAGAGAGTATGAGAGAGGAGGGTCAGAGAGAGAAGCAGACCCCCTGCTGAGCAGGGAGCCCGATGCGGGACTTGATCCTGGACTCCAGGATCATGACCTGAGCCGAAGGCAGTCGCTTAACCAACTGAGCCACCCAGGCGCCCCGCTGTTGTTTTTGTATTAATAACAATTTTAAATTACTTGTAGGTATCAGAGAGTCTTGAAAGTCAGCTATGAAGTTCAGATTTTTGCTGGGTTAGTGAGAGCCATTAATTTATTACAAAATTTACAATTATGTGCCATGCGTTAAGTTTAAGTGTATTATACTAGAATGCCTAACACATGGTTGATTCCTAAATGTCACTTATTCCCTTTGTCCTACTTTGAATTGAGTGATAGTGTTATTTTCAAAGAAGGAAATACCTTTTGGCAGTAAAATGAGCAGTCTCTAAGGTATTACAACTAGTAAATGGTAAAGCTAAATTTCAATGCTCTTCTCAGTATTTCTCAATAGCTGTAATCAGAGCTATTCTTCAAATTAGCTACACAGTTGATAAAATAGAGTAAGAGAAAGATAAAGTAGGAGATTGGATTTGTTTAACATAGGACCAAAGTGTGAGAGGTGATAACCAAGAAATAGGGTGAAAAAATGGGGAATGGGGGTTGGAGGAGAGAGGATCTATTTGGATATGTTATCTAAAGGTCTTTGTGAATGACCTGCTATTGAGGTAAGAGGGATGATAGGTGAAGAACCAGTGGTGACTCAAATTATGAAACATTGGTTAATTGCTCTTGGTTGTACCATCACAAACAATACCAGAGGAAAAAGAAATAAATGTAAAGGGGAATTGATGAATTTGGGTTTATGCATGTCTTGATGACTAATATTGTCATTTACAGATACAGAAGACCTTAGGCAAACATATTTCCTTAGACCCATGCCATTAATGACTTGAAATAAAACTGAATAATTCTATTTTATTTTCAGCAGCAGGGAGTACAGCAGACAGCCCCTCCTCACCAGGCAGTGCAGTATTCACTTCCACAGACATCAGCCTCCAGTGAGGCCACTACTGCACAACCAGTCAGTCAGTCTCAAGCTCCACAGGTCTTGCCTCCAGTATCAGTTGGAAAACAGGTAAACTCTCAATTTCTACAGAGATGCTAAAAACGAATCTCCATATAACTTTTTTCATGGATAGGTTTCTATCTTCTCTAATGGTGAAATACCAAATTTGGCTATATTCACCCCAGAAGTGAATTGACAGTTGTTCCTTTTGTGCACATGCATTGGTTAATATAAATAGGTACGTACTGACAGCATTCACAATCCAAAAATGTTTAACTTTTAGGTTTATTAGTCTAAAGGCCGTTTGACAGGTATTTGAACTGGTGGGTTAAATAACAGTGCTTATTGAATGAACCTGAACATTTTCTAGAATTGCGTCAGCGATAGCTGACATTCTAGGTTTACAACTATGCTGTATTTTTCGTGTAGATTTATGCATTTTTTCCTCCTCCATTGCCCACTGACAGTAAGTCATAAAAACCCCTTTATATAGAATGGTGTTTGTTCTAAGTCGTCCTTTTAATCACTTGGAAAGTGCCCTTTGGAAGGTATAGTCTATTGAATGACCTTTTTTGACTTTAACATTGGGACTTGTCCTTGTATTTTGGCACAGTGTATTGTTTCTATCATATTTCAGACAGATACTGTAATTGTAAAATGCACCATTATTTTATGTAGCCAAGTACTGACACACCATTAATTGCAAGATATATCTCAGTTTCACAAATGTTAAAATGACCAGGTGGTAGAGAGGGATGATTGCATCCTAGAATCAGTGAAATACAGTACTTATATACCTACTTTCATGGCCAATGTTAGGCTTCAGAATTGTAGAAGCAACATGGATTGGAATCTAATTCCAGGGAGGAGGAATTCATTTGAAGTCCAGTAACTACTATAATAGCAGTCATAGATTTAGTGACAACAAACATGCCAAAAGATTAGGGTATGTGAAATATATCTAAATAAATCTGTAAAAAAAAAAAACAAAAAAAACCCTTTGCCTATGGAAGTGTCCTCTTCTTATTGTTAAATGAAGAAGCATGAGCAAAATTTCTACAACAGAAGATTTGAAACAGCCAGTCTATCAGCCTCTTTGTCTCCTATTATCCTTTCCCTATTCTTGTGTGGCAAATTAACTTACACTAATGTATGCAGGGTTTTGGGGGGGTTTTTTTTCCCTTCTTTTTGGCTAATACATAAATCTTGCTTTTGGCAGCCTTGCTTTTTTTTTTTTTTTTTTTTTTAAAGTCTGTCTGTTTTGTTTTTCTTTACCTTCCCAGCTTCCAGTTTCCCAGCCAGTACCAACTATCCAAGGCGAACCTCAGATCCCAGTTGCGACACAACCCTCAGTTGTTCCAGTTCACTCTGGTGCTCATTTCCTCCCTGTGGGACAGCCACTCTCTACTTCCTTACTCCCTCAGTACCCTGTCTCTCAGATTCCCATATCAACTCCTCATGTGTCTGCGGCTCAGACAGGTTTCTCATCCCTTCCCATTACGATGGCAGCTGGCATTAATCAGCCTCTGCTCACCTTGGCTTCATCTGCTACAGCAGCTGGGATCCCAGGGGGACCAACTGTGGTTCCTAGTCAGCTTCCAACCCTTCTGCAGCCTGTGACTCAGCTGCCAAGTCAGGTTCACCCACAACTTCTGCAACCAGCAGTTCAGTCCATGGGAATACCAGCTAACCTTGGACAAGCTGCTGAGGTTCCACTTCCCTCTGGAGATGTTCTATACCAGGTATTGTGTTGGCTAGCAAAAAGGAGGGCACCAGAGGGTTTGATTCTAATAGTAGACCATCAAGGACTTGAAAGCCTAATAGTTGAATATCAAAGTAACTAGCAATAACAAAGGTGTAGCTGATATCAACTAGAGAAGCTAATAGAGTAAAATTCAGAGAAAAGATAGGGTAATGATGTCTGATGATTCATTTCCATTTTTCTTAAGACATTTCTTAGAGAAAGATGGTTCTGTTCTATTTGATGTAAGCTGACTGAATGCTAGATATGGCTAATAATATATTATATCAGGGTACTCTTTTTTTTTTTTTTATAGGTAGGGTAAATAGAGTAGCCAACGTGGTACCAATAAAAAGCTTCAGATTATCCTGTTATGATATGACTAGAATGACTGATACCTTGAAGAGTTTTTGCATTCTCCCACTTAAGATTACCTAGAAAGTTGATATTTTTCTAAAAAGAATTATGTTTGGGGGCGCCTGGGTGGCTCAGTTGTTAAGTGTCTGCCTTTGGCTCAGGTCATGATCCCAGGGTCCTGGGATCGAGCCCCGCATCAGGCTCCCCACTCCCTCTGCCCCTCCCCCTGCTTGTGTTCCCTCTCTCACTGTGTCTCTCTCTGTCAAATAAGTAAAATCTTTAAGAAAAAAAAAAAAAGAATTATGTTTGTTCCTCCTGTTTAATCTCCAGGAGGGCAAAACCCAGCAATTTATAGTTGTAGAGTACTGTCCCCCAAATTGAAACCGGTCTACCATTTCAAGAATCATGTTTAAATCTTCTTTAAATTATTAGAGATTGGGCTACTACTATTCTTCTTTGCTGTGTGCTTTTTTTGTTGGGGTCTTTGGGGGGTTTTTTTTGGTGTTTTTTTTGTTTGGTTTGTTTGTTGGGTTTTTTTATGCATGTCTTACTGTTTTGCTAATTTGATGACCCAACCTGCACTAACTCACCTTCCTCATTTCTGTCACAGGGCTTTCCACCTCGACTGCCACCACAATACCCAGGAGATTCAAATATTGCTCCCTCTTCCAGCGTGGCTTCTATTTGCATCCCTTCTACAGTCCTATCCCCTCCCATGCCGACAGAAGCACTAGCTACACCGGGTTACTTTCCTACAGTGGTGCAGCCTTTTGTGGAATCAAACCTTTTGGTTTCTGTGGGCAGTATAGGAGGACAGGTTCAAGTGTCCCAGCCAGCAGTGAGTTTAGCACAGCAAGCCCCCACTACATCCTCCCAGCAAGCAGCTCTGGAGGTAAATGGAATTACTGCATGTTTATATATAAAACATATATACACATGGGATAATTTGACAAAGAAAAAACATAGGTTCCCCTGTTTTAGAACTCAGTTGGAGACTATTTTCAAACTAACTTCTAAATGACTTTTTCTTCCAGCAGAATGAAATGCCAATGTGGGGGCCTTGTTGCCACTGGCTGTTCTGTTGGGAAGTGAGTGTGCCTTGGAGAAGATTAACCCTATTAGCACTTCACTTCTCTAGCTAGTACTTTAGCCATTATTCTTGTCCTTTCACAAAGTCTTGCCATTGGCAGTCATAAAAGTATCTTATCCTGCTGTGCTCCCAATAATCATTTTTGCCCTACTAGGAGAAAGATCTGAATCTTTGCACTTTGCTCTGCCTGCCCTGTTGCACACTTCTAGGAAGATGCTGGCTGCATGCAAGTTGTACTTTCTCACTACCTAGCAGCTATGTCGGCTGATGTCACACCATGCAGTCGATACCAGAGCCTTAGTTTTAGAAACTTCCTTTGGAATTTTAAGACCACTGTCTCTAGATGCTGAATACTGAGAATACTAGTAAATTTAGTGCTGCTAGGACTTAGACGGGGGGATAAGGAAAAATAAAAAAAGAGTAGCTTATTGGAGATAATGAATAACAAATAAAATGTGTTACTGCCAAGAGTTGCATTATTCTCTCTATTTACAGAGTACTCAGGGAGTCTCTCAAGTTGCTCCTCCAGAGCCGGTTCCAGTGGCACAAGCACAGCCTACCACTTTGGTCTCCTCTATAGACAGGTATGTAAAAGTAAATTCTCCTTCCTTGCCTGGCAGGTAGGATGATCTAAAACTTCAAAATATTAAACCTTTAGGGTGCCTGGGTGGCTCAGTTGGTTAAGCGACTGCCTTCGGCTCAGGTCATGATCCTGGAGTCCCTGGATCGAGTCCCACATCGGGCTCTCTGCTCAGCAGGGAGTCTGCTTCTCCCTCTGACCCTCCCCCCTCTCATGTGCTCTCTCTCTCTCTATCTCATTCTCTCTCAAATAATAAATAAATAAAATCTTTAAAAAAAAAAAACAAAATATTAAACCTTTAAACACTTAACTTTTTTTTTTTCTCCGAAGTGCACATTCAGATGTTGCTTCAGGAATGAGTGATGGCAATGAGAATGTCCCATCATCCAGTGGAAGGCATGAAGGGAGAACTGCAAAACGGCATTATCGAAAATCTGTTAGAAGTCGCTCTCGTCATGAAAAGACTTCACGTCCAAAATTAAGAATTTTGAATGTAAGTTTTACTAATTTGTGGGTTTCGTATAGTTACTTAATATCATTTAAATATCTCCAAGGCTCAGGTGTATTGATGAAAGTTTGGAATTTTCTAATCACCCAATAATATTGGTAAATTCCATATTTTTATAGTAAGACATTTATTTACCTTTTAGAAAAAGAGTTTTAATTTGTAGAACAGAGACTTTACATTCCTTCCAGACCCTTCAGTGGAAGATGAGGAAGTAGCCCAAGGGCTGGTATTTTCTTAATGTTTTCTTGCTACCAGTTTAAGAGGTAAATACCAACAAGTCTTTAAGTGGTAACATCAGGCTTAAGTTCAAGTGATAATCTGCATTCTTTTCTCAAATTCAGTAACAGCATTGAATATGGCTTCTGCAATATTAAGTACCTTTTTTTTTTCTTTTTAGGTTTCAAATAAAGGAGACCGGGTAGTAGAATGTCAGTTAGAGACTCATAATCGGAAAATGGTTACATTCAAATTCGATTTAGATGGTGACAATCCTGAGGAGATAGCAACAATTATGGTATGTCTGCATTTGGAGCTCCAGATTTTGCTTTAGTACTTTTTCAGTATCCACTGCCCTAAGAAAATGTGCAGTATTTTGTAATCTCTTTTGACAGTTATGTATTTATTTCAACGTGAATATAATTAGCTCAACGTGAATATAATTAGCACACCAAACATGGGATTTAGAGATATTTTTGTCTAGGACATGTCTAACTCTAGGTATTGAAGAACTAACTTACATAGCAAGTAGATAATGATACAGGTGGTATGCAGATAGGACAAAAGTCATGAATAAGTAGCAACTGGAATGACTTAAAACATGAGTAACACTGTACTAAACAGACTGACATCACATTTCTTCTGCAGGTGAACAATGACTTTATTCTAGCAATGGAGAGAGAGTCATTTGTGGATCAAGTACGAGAAATTATTGAAAAAGCTGATGAAATGCTCAGTGAGGATGTCAGTGTGGAACCAGAGGGTGACCAGGGATTGGAGAGTCTGCAAGGAAAGGATGACTATGGCTTTGCAGGTTCTCAAGTAAGTTCACCATTCCCATAGAGAAGCTTTGTTTAATTAAAATAATGCTGTGGTGTTAAATCTGCTATGCACAATGGTCAGTGATACCACATTATATTTATGACTGAGATTATCAAACATTTATGTTCTCTTTGCATGTGGCCATTTGCTTTGCCCAATCTTTAAGATAGTGTTTGAGAATGAATTTGATCACTTTTGTTTGTTGTAGAAATTGGAAGGAGAGTTCAAACAACCAATTCCTGCATCTTCCATGCCACAGCAAATAGGTGAATTTCTTTTCTTTCCATGTTTGCTTTTACCTTTGACCTAAGAAGTTGTATGTATACTCATAATGAAATCTTGAAATCTCATGTTGGTGACAATATATAAATAATGCAATTACGTGGTTTCTTTTTAACCAGGCATTCCTACCAGTTCTTTAACCCAAGTTGTTCATTCTGCTGGAAGACGGTTTATAGTGAGTCCTGTGCCAGAAAGTCGATTACGAGAATCAAAAGTTTTCACTAGTGAAATATCAGATACAGGTAAGGAATTGCTTCTACCACAAACTTCTATTACTCCTACAGTATCTCTGCTATATTGGAAGTTTGGTTATCAAGCAGTACAAATGATGACATAGACAATAAAGAAGAGTAGAAAGTTAAGATTATAAACAATAGACAAACATATGGGGGAGGGAAATAGATGATGAATAGGGAGGATTAAAAGACAAGAACCATCGCTTCTCGGCCTTTTGGCTAAGATCAAGTGTAAAAGACAAGAGCCAGAGAGGAGAAGGTACTAGATGCAGCCTGTGTAATAGATACTGTATCCATACAGTAGTATGTGTTCGTTTCTCCATTTAGGATTATTGTAGATGCTTTGTGGTGACTTGTTTTTCCTTTTTTCCTCTTTATTAAATTTTTTTGCCCCTAGAAATAGATCTTCATACAAGCTAACTTATTTTGATCAAACTGCTCTTTTACTTTGCTGTTTTAGAGCCTGTCATTTCCTTAGAAGTTTTAAACCTTGTTGGTATGTGGCAGTGTTGGTAATCGCAAAATAGATTGTTAGGACAATTTTGAATCCACCCTTTTAAAATGGACTGGTTCTGAATTTTGTGTTTTCCTTTGCAGTTGCTGCCTCTACTTCTCACGGCGCTGGAATGAACTTGTCTCACTCTGCTTCATCCCTTAGCCTACAGCAGGCCTTTTCTGAACTTAGACATGCCCAAATGACAGAAGGGCCCAACACGGCACCTCCCAACTTCAGTCATACAGGACCAACATTTCCAGTAGTCCCTCCTTCCATGAGTAGCATCGCTGGAGTCCCAGCCACAGCAGCAGCCACACCTTCAGTATCAGTCCCTGCAGCTAGCAGCCCCCTTACTGACATTTCCACATCAGTAATTCAGTCTGAGATTCCAGTGCCCACTGAAACAGGGATCGGTGGAGTTGCCACCTGCGCAGGTGTGATGCCCTCGAGTGGTCTCCCTGTCCCACCTGTATCTGAATCACCAATATTTCCCACTGTGGTTTCGAGCATCACAGTACCTGCAGTTGTCTCGGTATCAGCAACATCCCAGCCAGTTCAGGCTCCCACATCTGGGAGCGCGGTTTCCAGCATAGGCACTTTGCCCTCTCTGCCGGCTGCAGCAACTTTAGCCCCTGCAGGGGGCAGTGCTGCCGCGCCGGGTGCTAAGCCCGCACCTGTACCGTCGCAGCAGGTGGCAGGCAGTGCTGCTGGCGCAGCCACATTAGCCTCTCTTCCTGCCACCGCTCCGTTCCCAAGCTTAGCTTCACAGCCGTCTCTTCAGCTTAGCAGTAGCACCTCTGCTCCGACTCCAGCTGAAACAGTGGTGGTTAGTGCACACTCACTAGATAGAACATCTCACAGTAGTACAACTGGATTGCCTTTGTCCCTCTCTGCATCACCGTCTCCCTCCCCTGGAGCAGGATTGTCTACTTCCGTTTCTCAGCCTGGTGGGATGCATCCTTTGATCACCCCATCAGCTATAGCTTCTACTCCTGCCCTTCCTCAAGCAGCAGGACCTACTTCTACACCTTCATTACCCCAAGTACCTGGTGTCCTACCCTTGGTACAGCCTATTGCCAGCGTGCCTGCCGTGCAGCAGACACTAATTCACAGTCAGCCTCAACCAGCTTTACTTCCCAACCAGCCCCACACTCACTGCCCTGAAATAGATGCCGACTCACAGCCCAAAGCTCCTGGAATTGATGACATAAAGACTCTAGAGGAAAAGCTGCGGTCTCTCTTTAGTGAACACAGCTCATCTGGAGCCCAACATACGTCTGTCTCACTGGAGACTTCACTGGTAGGAGAGACCACTGTCACACCAGGCATCCCAACCACCGCTGTTGCACCAAGCAAGCTCATGACTTCCACTACAAGTACATGCTTACCACCAACCAGTTTGCCACTGGGTACACCTGGTTTGTCAGTTACGCCAGTGGTCCCACCTGGGCAGGTTTCTACCCCAGTCAGCTATGTGTCAGCCCCAGTCAGCGCGACACCAGGAGCGAAAGCTGGACCTGCTCCGTCGAAGCCACCTTTAACTAAAGCTCCAGTAAGATTCTTGTTCTGAAATAATTTGATAAATATGATCATTCTTCCCCCCACGCCCATAAGTGCATTTTTTCAACTCAGCCTTGCAAAGTAGAAATGTAGTTATAAAGACAGCCTGGCCTGTATTAGACATTCGGTATTTATTAAATAATTTGAAAATGATTTTAGGATATATGGACGTTGAACACAAGATGCTTTTGTCTTTTGAAATATGGCAGGATTTGGGGATTAATTATACTGCCTGGTTTTCTAAGGATGTATAATAGGTACAACACAGACGTCTCTTCCTAACTGGTACCAGCTAAAGAAATCTGTCTCTCAAAAGGAAGCTGAATGCTTCTGCTAGCAATTACACAGAGCGCTAGCAGTTCACAGCCTTTGTTTCAGTGAGAATGAAGCAGAAGCAAACTTTCTGCTTTGCTTAGATTCCACAGATACACAATTTGGGGGTTATAAAAAATTGGAAGCTGGCGATGAATTTCATACAGAGGAAAAAAGACTCTAATCCTAGGAATAAAATAACTAAAATATGTTTTCTCATTCTGCTGTGGTGGATTTCCTCTCATTCTGCCGTCTTCAGTCTCCCTGATCTGCTCCAAGTAACAAGATTGTGTTTTTTCTACTATATTCTGTGCTTCACTCATCTTTCTGCTTTGCCATTGACTGTAAAATTCTTTTTATAGTAGGATAATAATAGAGGCTGTGTACAAATTGTTTACTAGTAATAGTATCCTGATGACTTTTGTTATCAGACTTGACCTTTGGTTATTTCTGAACTGTATTGTTTTCTCAGAAAAATGTTTTAGGAAAAGCCAGATGATACTATGCCAAAACAGTGGCTCAAGAATACTGGACTATGCCTCTCATGTCCTTAAAGCCTTTGATTCTCTTTTCCCTAGGGAATAACCTTTTACTAAATTTTGCTATTCATTTTATTGGTATGCAGTAGTAACCCCTATAACACTATCATGGTTATAATGTCCTTTATTTAAGATAGATACCAGAATATAAGCTAGGTGACAAGCATGTCTTAACTATAGATATATTTTACTCTTACGTCTCTACATTGGAATTAATTGATTTGCTCTCCAGTATGCAGTCTTTACTCTTAGTGTCTCATGGACTTGAATTTCCCTTCATTGTCTGTAGGTGCTGCCAGTGGGTACTGAACTTCCAGCTGGTACTCCACCCAGCGAGCAGCTGCCACCTTTTCCAGGACCTTCACTAACTCAGGTGCCCTGCCCCAAGACTTGGCAGATTTCTTTTTGTACCCCTACTTTTCTTTCACAAAGCTTACTTAAATTCTCCATTGCATGATCTTGGCTTCTGGCTTCTCTTTGGTTTTGACTTAGTAACAACTTTCTTTTAAAACAGTATAGGTAATTATCTAGGCCCTATTTAAAGTAAGAAGCTTCATAGTTCTCTTGTTCATAATATTGCTTCAAGTCCTCTAGAAAACATTTGATATTAATACTTCTTCATATTTTAGGAAGGAAGAAAATGGCAAGGTTTACATTTTACCAGACAAATATAATTCTTCTCATTCACAGTTTTGTGGAGTGAAATTGCATCTAAGGACTGAGATTAGGTTCTAGACTACTCTGGAAGTAAAAACTTACAAGTAATCAAAATTAACTTTGAAAGTTCCTTAAGAAAAGATACCACACTGATAACTGATAATGCCCCTTTTCTGTGAGCTCAACCAGTTTTTTCTTGAATGTTTGACATTTCTTTCATTGACAACCTAATAAAGTAATTGACTTATGTATAGGTGGATATAAGGGTCATGCTTCATGAAAAATACATATTATATCTTTCAGTACAAAACCCACACAGCTCAATTAACATGAGATTACTCATACAGAAACTGAAACCAGTGACATGAATATTAATTCGCTATCTCACGCTCAGTTCTGATCATTGGGTAGAACTGCCTGCAATATTTAAATTACCATTTCCCTTTCCCACCCTACTCCACCACCCCACACATTTAGTTGAATACCCATAAAGAAAGTACTTACTATGAATTCATTATAATGCTTCTGCCTTGAGACAGAGTAGTAAACATTGAAACTAAATCAGTGATTTATTTTAAAATTGTATCTAAGGAAAACATGATAAATTTCTAACTTGAGAAGTCTGACTTTATCCCTACTTATGTAATCCTAGATGTACAGTAGAACATAACTTAAAGAACTTGCCAGAATAAAGTAATAACTCCAAAGAGAACTCAATCCATCAGCCACTAAATTTTGGAAAAAATACATTGTGAAATTCTGTAAATTAGGGGTTTTACACCTATTTTCTCTTAAAAACATACATTGAGACTCCTAAGGGGGCTCAAATGTGACACAAAAGAGCAAATAAGATGGGGAGGGGGTGGTGAGGGTAAGTGGATAATGCCTGTATATAGAGGAAGGAAGATAAAGCCGCAGAAGAATGGGTTGATAGAAGCCAATAGATAGATGTGGGATTACCGTCTGTGTCAAAGGTAAAAAGTTAACGGCCTTGGGGTGGATGGTAGTAAGACGTGGTTAACAGGATGGAATGTCCAAACCTCCAGTGCCTTCTTGCTGCAATCTGTAGGGTGTAAGAAGTATAGATTATTAAGACTTAAAGAAATACGGGCGCCTAGGTGGCTCAGTCATTAAGCGTCTGCCTTCGGCTCAGGTCATGGTCCCAGGGTCCTGGGATCAAGTCCCGCTTCGGGCTCCCTGCTCCGCGGGAAGCCTGCTTCTCCCTCTCCCACTCCCCCTGCTTGTGTTCCCTCTCTCGCTGTGTCTCTCTCTGTCAAATAAATAAATAAAATCTTAAAAAAAAAAAAAAAAAGACTTAAATATCCCTTGATAGTGACAGGATATATTAATGCCATTCATAAAGACAAGTTCTCAGAAAGATGTACCAAACTGAAAGGAAAATAGGGGAACATGTGATAGAATTAATCTACTGATAGATCTTGATACATTTATCTGAATTTTTTTAAAGATTTTATTTATTTGAGAAAGGGAGGCAGAGAGAGTGACAGAAATACAGCAAGAGAGAACACGAGCAGGGAGGAGAGGGAGAAGCAGACTACCCGCTGAGCAGGGAGCTGACACGGGGCTCCATCCCTGGACCCTGGGATCATGACCTGAGCCAAAGGCAGATGCCTAACTGACTGAGCCACCCAGGCGTCCCTATCAGAATGTTTTTAAAGAGAGGACAAATAGAAACTTTTCTATCACTTCAAGTAACATCAAACATAGAAGGTAAGAAGACTTCAAAACTGTAAAAACATAAATGTAACTGAATTTCTCTTAGGCTTGGGAAATTGACATAAATCATTTAAGCAATGTACATTAAATTTAGCATATTGAGTTTTATATTCAGTGAATAGATAATATGTTGTGTCAATCTAAAGCATCAAACAGTATTCGTATATAGATTGGCTATATATAGTGGCTCTGACTATGCCAAAGACCTCTATTTATTGTGCTTGTTTTCATTCAGTCCCAGCAGCCTCTGGAAGATCTTGATGCTCAGTTGAGAAGAACACTTAGTCCAGAGACTATTGCGGTGACATCCACAGTTGGTGTAAGTTTTGAAAATCTTGATGACATCTTTCCATAATCCTAATATATTATATTCCTAGAGGATACTGTAACCTATTAATACCGTTAACACCTACAGAGTTAAAAGTATTAATTCAGAGTCTTTGCTTGTTCCAGCAAACAGAAATAAGGCAGATGAATGTAAGATTAACAACTGACCCAGTGGTGTGATTGTGGAAAAGATTTTATTTATTTGAAAGGTACTTTTCTTGTCTTACCTCTGGCTAGAATTACACCATAGATCAATCCTATGGATTTTGCATTTATGCTTTGGAGGAAGCTGTACTTTTTTTTTTTTTTTTTTTTAAGATTTCATTTATTTGACAGAGATAAAGTGAGAGAGGGAACACAAGCAGGGGGAGTGGGAGAGGGAGAAGCAGGCTTCCTGCTGAGCAGGGAGCCTGATGCAGGGCTCAATCCCAGGACCCTGAGATCATGACCTGAGCCAAAGGCAGACGCTGTAATGACTGAGCCACCCAGGTGCCCCGGAAGCTGTACTTTAAGTAAAAAGTTTTAACTTCTTCCTTTTAAGCTTGTGACACAATGTTCTGATTAAAACTATTTTTCTTTGGGGGCACCTGGGTGGCTCAGTCGTTAAGGGCACACCTTTGTTTCAGGTCATGATCCCAGGGTCCTGGGATCGAGCCCCGCATTGGGCTCCCCGCTCAGCGGGAAGCCTGCTTTTCCCTCTCCCACTCCCCCTGTTTGTGTTCCCTCTCTCGCTGTGTCTCTCTCTTTGTCAAATAAATAAATAAAATCTTAAAAATGTATATTTTTTTTCTATGAATACTCAAGTTAAACACTAAGTATCCCATGAGAAAAATGAAGAAAACAATATAGAAACAACTCAGGATTTCTTCCTTTTAAAAACTTTTTTAGGGGCACTTGGTTGGCTCAGATGGTTAAGCGTCTGCCTTCGGCTCAGGTCGTGATCCCAGGGTCCTGGGATCGAGCCCCGCATCGGGCTCCCTGCTTGGTGGGGAGCCTGCTTCTCCCTCTCCCTTTACTGTTACCCCTGCTTGTGCTCTCTCGCTCTGTCAAATAAATAAATAAAATCTTTAATTAAAAAAAAACCTTTTTTTTTTTACATCAGACTTCTTTTTAGGCTGAAAAAAAAAAAAAGAAAACTCCCTTGGATGTAAGTGTTTCTTCACATATACTATATTTCTTTTGCCCTTTATAAAGACCAGAGGCAAGGCAGCATGACAAAAGTTTAAAGAGCGACTGAAGCTAAAGATTTTATGGTATCTATGTGTATGTTTTGCAGCCTGTGTCCATGATGGCTCCAACAGCAGTTGCAGAAGCAGGAGCACAGCCTCAGAAGGATGGTGAGAAGCATCCTCCTTCTTATGTACCATTTCCAGTCCTCTCTATAATCGATCATAGGGGTTACTATTTCAAAGATTTTCTTAAGAATGTAGGTGTATTTGAGATAGTTTTAAAAAGCATTTTTATATATTTCATAACTGAGGAGCATCAATACTAATATCTAGACCATGTCATACTAGCAAATTAATGAATCTTTTATATTGTTTTTGTTTGTTTTCAAGGGGGACATGCAAAGGACAATGATAGTTTCTCGGAATAAGACCCTTTGTTGTTAGCTGGGCCAGATCCTTGCTAAGAGAGATAGGAAATTGAGGCAGGCATACATACAAAAGTTAATTTACCTTAACCTCTTGGCTTTTGTGACACTAGGTAGAGATAGAGATAATCTTAAATAACATGGATGGTAGAAATACAAATGTAAGATTTTAATCAGCTTAAGCATTTTTATCTATTTCTGGAGTCTTTAGAATTGGCATGTTCATATGTATATTCTCTTTAGGCATGTTTCCAGCTTAATTTTGTAAAAATAACCCATACCAACAATTTAAAATTTTCATGAGCATGCACTAGGTCATAAGTTCATATCAGCGACTTCTTTTCTAAAGTTTTATTGTGAATCTCTTTTCATGACATCACCAGTCCCCCAGAAACTAGGAAATTTAAAGCTTTTATTTTGTCACCTTTTCCCTTAGAACCATTTATATTCAAAAGTGGAAATAATTCAATATGAGCTGTACTTACTCAGTGTGATTTTGTAGAGCACTTGCTTAAATATTTTTCCTTTTTATATAGTTTATTCATTCTCCTCACTATCACCTACATAGATATATTTCCCTGTATAACTATTAGTAAGATTTACCTGGAATGCTCAGCTTTCTTTCTTCCTTAAATTCTAAATTTCACTTCAAACCTCTCTAAAATATTTTCAAGACAATTATCTTCTGAATTAGCTCTCTCATTTTAAAAGAAGTGACTTGAAAATCAGTGGAACAGACCAGAAAAGTCTAGAAATGGACAAACTGTAAGAGAATGTAGAATATGAAAAAGGTGGGCTTTCAACCAAAAAAAATTCCAAATGGATCAAAGATAGAAAGTGATACTGTAAAACAGTACTGTAACAAAACATAAAAGGAATCTTTTTCTTTTTCTTCTCCTTTTTCTTTTTTTTTAACTGTCTAGAGCAGGGTCAACAAACTTTCTGTAAAAGGCCAAGTATATGTTTCAGGTTTTGCTGGCTGTATAGTCTCTGTCGCAATTACTCGAATCTCCTATTGTAGCCCAAAAGCAGCATAGACGATACATGAATGAATGAGTTTTGCTCTGTAGTCTAACAGTATTTATTTACAGAAACAAGCTATGGGCTGAATTTGGTCCATGATCATAATTTGCTGATCCCTGATGCAGAGACCGGTGTTATTACTACATTTAATACTCAGCCCAGAAGCAGTAATAGATTCAAAATTTTCTTCATGGAAAAAATGCCATGAGGTCCAAAGATAATAAAAAACTGGGTTGGGGGGGATGTATTCATATCACAAAAAAGACTAGTAAGTGATAGGATTTCTTACCTCTCACTGGTAAATTCAGAAGTTTAATAGCCACTAGTGACTTGATACAACCTCTTTGGAGATCAGTTTAGTAATGTCTATCAAAGTTTTAAATGGGCATGATTCAGCATGTCCATTTTTAGGTATTTATTCCACAGATCTATAAGAAAATATTTGTTAGAGCACTTTTGTAATAGCAAGTTCTGAAAAACTTAAATGTCCATCAGCATAAGTCTGCTTAAAATGTGGTACATTTGCATACATATAGTAGGCAGACAAACCTAAAACACTATGCAGCCATTTAAAAGAATGAGACAACGATATGGAATGCTGTCCAAGATACATTGTTAAAATATCAAAATCAGTGTTGTATAAAATACAACTTACTAGTTGTGTAAAATAAAGTGCTGGTATATGCCTACATTATCTCCAGGAAAAAAACCTCAAAGGGTTGTCCCTAGAGAGGAGGACGTAGGTGACTTTAAAGTTGCTCAAAACTACGTATCAGTGATTCTGACACCTCTACTTCTTGTTCTAGGATTTTGCCTAAGTATTGCCTAAACCAGTTTGTCATAGTGATTTTCATTTAAAAAGAAAAGACCCATTTGGGTCTTTAATATCCTAGGTAAAATCTCATCCTTTCTCTTCGTTTACTTAAATCTATCTATCTTTGAGTTAAAGAATGAGTAATTGAATTCTTACTGCCTGTTAACCATAGTTTTTGTAGTATCTCTTCTGTTGTCCTTGCCTCAAACAGTTTTCCTCACCTGATACATAGTTTTATTTTGCTGTATTTCTAGCCAAAGGGAAAGGAAGCTAACTAAAAAGAGATACTAATTTAAGTTCTTTTTCTCCTCCATGTACTTGTTTCAGTTTCTCATATTGTAGAAGGTCCTGTCCTAGCAACTAGTTCAGGAACTGGTGTTTTCAAGATGGGACGATTTCAGGTAAGACAACCACTTTTCCTTGCCTTGATTTCCTCTTTGGGTGAATAGGTATATAATAAAATGATTACTTAACTTTGGGACATAATTGCCAATTTAATGATATATCTCTTTTGTATAGCTCTTTATCATTTTCCCCTCTTAAAAATAATACATGCAAAAAAAAAAAAATACATGCTGGGGTCCTTGGCTGGCTCAGTCAGAAGAGCGTGTGCCTCAGTCTCGGGGTCACGAGTTCGAGCCCCATGTTGGGGGAAGAGATTACTAAAAATAAGTAAGTAAGTAAACTTTAAAAAATGATAATAATACATGCCAATTAAAGAAAATATAGACTACTTAGTGTAGTAGAGAAACAGGAAATTATCTGCTCATCCCCCCACCTCCCTTCCCCATCCAGGATTACTTTTTAGGGTATGTGTTTCCTTCCATTCCTTTTTCTGTGCACATGTGTGTATCTACAGTTGACCCTGCTTCTTTGAATATTTCGTGGCTTTTCCCCCCATCTTTTGTTAGTCATTAGGTTGTTTCTGATTTTTCCAACATAGTAAAGTAACAGGAAACATTTTTGTATATAAAAACACTTTCCATGTTTAGGATAATTTTTTAGAATTAATTTCTGAAGTGAAAGTACTGACTGAGCATCAGGTGACACCATATCATTATATTTTCCCAGCTGGTCCAACTAGTGAAATTTTTTTTTTTTTAATTGCTTTCACAACTGCTTTCCAGTTATTCTCAGGATAGCACTGGGTGTTGGGGATAGTAGTGGATCCTCCTTATAGTCCCATTTGGTGTGTTGATTCTTGAAGCTTAGTTGGCATTTGTAGTTTTTATATTCACAAGCAACCTTCAAGATTCTATTCCCTGTTGTTATTTATATTTCCACAAAGACATAAATCTAAGTCCTGTGTATAACATGAGATATGAAAGTAAATTATTTACTTAGTAAGCTTAGCCAGCTGCTGAGAATCTGTATATCTAATCTATACATCTCAGTACAGATTTGTTGTTTTCTATAATGGTATTCCATTTATTTTCACAGTGAAGATGGAGGGACTTATGTAAAGACATACTTTCCGGGCACCTGGGTGGCTCAGTCAGTTGGGCGGCTGCCTTCGGCTCAGGTCATGATCCTGGAGTCCCGGGATCGAGTCCCGCATCGGGCTCCCTGCTCAGCGGGGAGTCTGGTTCTTCCTCTGACCCTCTTCCCTCTCATGCTCTCTCTCAAATAAATAAATAAAATCTTTAAAAAAAAAAAAAAAAAGACATACTTTCCATATGTAAAGACTTATGTAAAGACATCCCAGCCTATTCACTGGAAAATAAAGTAATTTACTTTTTTAAGATTTTATTTTTTAAGTAATCTGTACACCCAGTGTGGGACTTGAACTCAGAACCACGAGATCAGGAGTCACATGTTCTACTGACTAAGCCAGCTAGATACCCCTCAATTTTTTTTTAAGGGCCATTTTAAAAAATTGAATATTGGAGACTTTGTTTTTTAATCTCAGTTTGGTCTCTTTCTATCAGGTTTCAGTTGCAATGGATGATGTCCAAAAAGAGGGTAAAAATAAGTCAGAAGATACAAAGTCTGTTCATTTTGAATCCAGTACTTCAGAGTCCTCAGTGCTATCAAGTAGTAGTCCAGAAAGTACCCTGGTGAAGACAGAGCCTAATGGGATAACCATCCATGACATCTCATCAGATATGCCAGATAGTGCCCACAAAACTCCTGCGTTGGAAGCAAAGTCAGAAACTGGGCAGCCTACCAAGGTAGGACGTTTCCAGGTGACAACTACAGCAGACAAAGTAAGTCGTTTCTCTGTATCAAGAACTGAAGACAAGATCACTGAGGCAAAGAAAGAGGGGCCAACAGCATCTCCTCCTTTTATGGATTTGGAACAGGGTGTTCTCCCTGCTGTGATACCAAAGAAAGAAAAGCCTGAACTGTCAGAGCCTTCACATCTGAATGGGCCATCTTCTGACTTGGAGGCCGCCTTCCTTAGCAGGGATGTGGATGATGGTTCAGGTAGTCCACACTCCCCCCATCAGCTGAGCTCGAAGAGCCTGCCTATCCAGAATCTAAGTCAAAGCCTTAGTAATTCATTCAACTCCTCTTACATGAGTAGTGACAATGAGTCAGATATTGAAGATGAAGATTTAAAATTAGAGCTGCGAAGACTACGAGAAAAGTAAGTATATTTTCTTCTGTGAAAGAATAATGGCAGAACTGTGTTAAGACCTAGCTCCTGGTGCCTAGATTAGTATTCTTTTCACTGCAATATGCTTGTATCTCATTGCTTTTAAAGAGAGGGTGATATGCAAAAGCTAGTTATCTGAATGTAGTTCTCCTTTGGTCTCTTATATTTATAAGGACCCATAGCATTTCTACTTCTAGAACTTCTTCACCTTTTGTTATATTGTTGTTTTTGTTAATAGCGCTCTTTATCATTATTAACCTAATCTAATTTATTTACTAGTCTACCAAATGAATCCAGTAATGGCACTGGGATGTAGATTATGTTGGCAGGTTTTATAGGTCATATTTGATAAACTGGATCAAAGTAGCAATTCAGTACTCCTGTGTATAGCCTCCAAAGTCAGGAAACCTTTTCTCCTAACACATTGTCAACTTATTTGTTGTTGTTTAGGAGCTTATTGGAATTTGGCTTGGGTAATGGAGGCCAACAATATGAGATGACACACTAGAATTTCAAGGCAATAGAAATTAGGTTAAGTATACTGGGGTGGGGGGGAATTCATGAGTAAGTAATTACTTGAATGGAGGTTAAAGAATATGTTATTAAATCTTATTTGAACAAAAGTGGTTATAATGTTTTTGAATTATGTTTGGTTATCTTTCATAGGCATCTTAAAGAAATTCAAGACTTGCAGAGTCGCCAGAAGCATGAAATTGAATCTTTGTATACCAAACTGGGAAAGGTTCCCCCCGCTGTCATTATTCCCCCAGCTGCCCCCCTTTCAGGGAGAAGAAGGCGACCCACTAAAAGCAAAGGCAGCAAATCCAGTCGCAGCAGTTCCTTGGGGAATAAAAGCCCCCAGCTTTCAGGTAAAAAGCCATGGACCAGGTCAGCCTTGGCTGTCCCAGCTTTTGTTTCTGTCTCCAACTCTATATGTAACCTATTGAACATTTGTTGTTTTTGTTAAATTTCAAAGGAGTTTGACTTTCCTAATATTCTTGCTTCCTTGACTTTTACACTCTCCCTGTTTATAGTATCTCTTTTTGTTGAGTCTATGAAAGTAGACTGGATGAGTACAGTGGCTTGTTCCATTGTGATCCATATTACTATCTACTGGTAGCCATTTATGGTTGTCCTTAAAGATAAACAATTTAGCATTACCTGGTTACTCCTATAACTCACATTTCACCAAAATCACGGACAAATGAAAGAAAATACACTGTTCTTTGTTTAGTAAAGTTTAGGTAGATTTTTCCTTTCAATGAATGAATTACTCATAATTGCCGCTAGGATGACTGTAAATTTCATATATGTCTTAGGTGGTAATTTTCTTGATTAAAGTTATTTCATTTATCTATATTGAAGTAAAGAACTTGCTAGTGGTTGTAATAAAAAAATAGTTAAATCACAATATCTTGTAACTATCTTGTAACAAACTACACAGTTTGTCTACCCTTCAGTGAAATTATGATGTTAACAGATAATTAGTTGAAAAGTGAAAAAGCCTGAAATAAGTTTGTACCTCTATTTGTTCTCCAGGTCTAATATAAATATGTTGGAAAGCAGTTGTAAACTTCTTAGCAGCTTTCCATTCTCCTGGAAGCTTTCAGAAACCCAAACCTCTTCTCTAGCACATTAGAACCAATTCAGTAGTGGAAATGTGATTATAAGGGATATCAGCTAATTTAGATTCTGATCCCAATTTTGACATACTTTTTGAGTGGCCTTCTATTCCACCAATTAGTAGGGAACAGTCACGTTCGTCAATTTCAAGGCAGACGACTAGGAAATAAAAGCCACCTGCCACAAATAATTTTAAATATGCATTACTCTGTAATCACTTGTGTCAGTTTTGACAACACTTCTGTATTTGATCTGACACATGCTTGGAAAAAAGACTAAGCAGAGACTGCCCCCCACCAAACCTGTTGATGTCGTGCTCCAACTCAGTGTTTTATAATAGTGTTTAGGAAAGCGATCATGGAATTCTCTCATACCCACGGAATGTTCTCAGCTGAGACTTATGAACCTTCTAGGCTATCTAAAGCTACCTATAGCCCTAGTGCCTGTTGATTCTCATGTCATTCCTCACTTACCTTCCCGTGAGGGAGGCCTTTGTTCTTTGATCAGTTACAGCTTCTGACTTGTGATTAGTCACTTAGTGGGACACACTGGAGTAATGAGAATAGTGCCTATTAAGGGCAAGGGGAAAGCTGTACATGTTTCCTCATGCTGCTTTATCTTTTGGCAGGTAACCTGTCTGGTCAGAGTGCCACTTCAGTTTTGCACCCCCAGCAGACCCTCCACCCTCCTGGCAGCATCCCAGAGACTGGGCAGAATCAGCTGTTACAGCCCCTTAAGCCATCTCCCTCCAGTGACAACCTCTATTCAGCCTTTACCAGTGATGGTGCCATTTCAGTACCAAGCCTTTCTGCTCCAGGTCAAGGTAAGCAATCAAAGCAACCATTGTCTTCTAAAAACTGCAATATCTGTGGCAGAAGCCTGAAGAGGAACTGTTGTTAAGGTCAGTTGGAAAACCAGGTGACCAGAATATAGCCTGTCTGTTGTACCCTCACAGATCTTGAGCTGGAAGGGGAAGTTGAGTAATCATTAGATTAGATGAACTCATTGCTCTTATCAGATGAAATGGCTTTTTTCAAAGGATTACAGCAAAAAGTTGCATGTGTGACTTATGTGAGGACTTTAACCAAATTAATGACTCATTTGGGATTTGGATCATACACTTTAATACTAGACTGAGATTTCCTGAACCAAAATCAAAGGAGTTTTAGCAGTTTCTGAACGCTAATGCATTTTCTTAGCCAGTGCAGACTTTTTAAACTTTTAAGTATGGGAGTATAATACTAAGATAAATAGCCCTACAATTCCATTATTTATCTGTAATCTACTTCCTAAATATAGTTTTATTTACTAATGATCATTTGAAACTTTCCTGTTGAGGAGGGAGCTGCTAGCAATGTAGAACAACAATTGGAAGGACTTAGGTATCTGGGTGAAAAAGAGTAGGAGAAGATATAGGTAACTCGCTTAGGGGCTTTTGCTACAACATCACAGAAATCAAAGATTAGATCGTCTCTTCACAAGGTGAATATACTTGCTTGCTAGGAGTGCAGACCAGCTGGCATTATTCCCACTGGGAGGAGCTTCAGCATTTGACAGAGGGAGGGAATTGAGACCTGATATTTCCTGTCCTAGATATCTGGCCTTTCCCTGGAAGCTTGTTCTTCTGTGTGCCGTCTTAGCGCATTTCACCACTCCAGCCTCGAGTTTCTAACATCTTGTAGTTGTGTTCTGTCTCTTCTCTCTCTGTTTTTCCCTGTTTTCCCCCCTCTCACAGGCTGTGCGAAGTTTAACTGTGCATCTGAGCAGGTGACATTCAAACCTGGTGGCAGGAGGACCCGATTTCTGAGTACGCCCTGCTTGGCTCTTTGTGTGTAACACCTTTACTCCTTCCTCGTCCTTGTTTTTCTGCTGCTTGGATCTGATGTTTCATGAAGTCCATTTTCATTTGTCTCTTTGTATATCATCTACTCGGTGGCTTGGCTGAATTACTATTACCCTCAGAAGTTTGGGTCTCTATGTTAATTATGATAAAAGATACAGAGATAATAATAGGTTTCTATAAGCTTAAAAAAAACCTTTCTGGTAGAAGTGCTTCTTCATAGATCCGTGACAGAGTAGCAAAGGTGGTAATGTTGTAGAGACTGCTGGGTCATTTAGAATAAATGAAGACTGAAGTCCATAGTCACATCTGCCCCTTGCTCTGGCATTAGAAGTGACAGAGAACATCTTGACCACTGATATACTTAGATCCTGGCAGTAAGGGAGAATTACACCCTATTTTTTTATTCTTTTTCCGAGTAGGTTGAAATCTTTTTTTCTTCTCAATTAAGCCTAACCATCTCTCAGTTCAAATGATGCTAGAATCTGTTCATTGGATCCTTTCACTCCCCCACCCCCACCCTCTAACTCCATAAAATTGGTAGTTCAAAAAGGGTTTCCGTATAGTTACTCTCATTAAGCATTTATTCTTCTAAGGACCAAAGCCCAGCACCTGCCAATGAAAATGGTCTTTTTAACATGATTGCTAGGATTTCCTAGCTCTCTTCTTCTTTTTTTTTTTTTTTTTTAAAGGTTTTATTTTTATTTTACAGAGAGAGAGACAGCCAGAGAGGGAACACAAGCAGGGGGAGCAGGAGAGGGAGAAGCAGGCTTCCCGCAGAGCAGGGAGCCTGATGTGGGGCTCGATCCCAGGACCCTGGGATCATGACTTGAGCTGAAGGCAGACGCTTAACGACTGAGCCACCCAGGCGCCCCTCCTAGCTCTCTTCTTAAAAGCAAGGTACAATAGCAAATCACCCAACTTTCTCAACCTGTCCTCCCCAAAGGTAAAATGAAGATGATGCCTGTCTCCTAGGGCTGTTGTACAAATCAAATGAGATCATGTGCACAAACACGGGCAGCACTTGGGAAGCACACGTCATTTCCTTCTAAATCAGCCAGTGCCTACCTGGCACATAGTAGGTAGTCAATAAATGTATATTGAAATAAAAATTTAAAAAACAAAAGCAAGGCTCAGGTAGAAAACCTTTGTTACAGTTGGGTTAAAGATCTTCTCTGTTGAGGCCTCAAACTTCTGATGTGGTTATTGAAGTGCTTTTTAAATGCATGTGCAAAAAGGTCATCACTGTTTCTGAGTGTGGTCCAGAGGTCCTTGGGCCTCACGAATCACCAGTCCAGGACTACTGAACAAAAGACATGGAAGGTGTTATCCAATTTGGTAGCTTTCCAAAGCATGTATGGTTTTTGGGTACTCAGATCGATAACTTTTCTGGTTAGACCAGGCTGGACCAGGCATGTTAGCACTTTGACACTTAAATAAGCATTTAATTTCTTTGTCCAGCTGGCAAGATGAAAAGACATTTAATAGTAAGAGGCAAGTGTTGTAAAGTAGGATGTAATATGTCAGGCCTATATTATACAGCCTGAGATGTCTAAGAGGGAAGAGAGAGAACCAAGGCTTTTTTGGGAAACATAATGTGAGAGATACACTTCAGATTAATTAATTAATTAAATTCTCACACACTCTTAAAGGTAGGTGGTGGCACACTTGTAACATCAAATGAAAGTGGTTAGAAATATTAAATCTTATCACTTCCTTTTGGGTCTAAGAAGAAAGGCCCTACATCTGTTGAAGGCACTTGAGTATATATCATATAAGCCTTGGTGAACAAATTGCAAGAGGCAGATTTAAAGCAAATATGGAAGGGAAAACAGGTACTTAACAGACGTGGGGTCTTTCTAGTTGGGGATGCGTTATTCTGTGCTCTCAAAATAGATAATGGTTTGGAAGCACGGCTTGGCTTAATGCTTTATTTATGTTCAAAAGTTGCTCGTTTTCCACATACTTTTAAAGACTTCTGGAGGGGAAGGGGTTAGTGTGTATGTCTAGGATTTGGAAATATATTAGCCAATTTAAATTGACTCAAAACTGTAACAGTGGTACTGTCAGTCTACTGGGGTAGAATTGCTAATGCATCTAATCGAGTGCTTTTTAACAACCCAGCAGGAGAAACAGAAAGTGGGACAGGGTCAGTGGAAAGACTGCTTGAGTATTTGAAATTCAAGCAGTAAGACCTGAGAGACTAGAGTTCCTCCCCCATCCCAGAACCTTAGTGCAGAGCATTATTCTCAGATACAAAGATTGGGTGTGGAAGCTCCGCTATCAGCCAGGTACCTCCATCCATCAGACACCCATGTTAAGGCTAAGTAAGATACGTCCCATAGAACTTTACCTATAGCAGGGGCTCCCGGGTCCCACCAGTCTGTCTCTCTTTCTGCTTTCTCTTGCTGGGACTTTGTGTGCTGTTTGGAGATTCTAAGTATTTTACACTGATGTTTCTTTATCTTTAACACATTGCTCTCTCTTTGTGCTTCAGGGAAGATGGTGAAAAAAGTCTGTCCTTGCAACCAGCTCTGTAGTAATTATCTTTTCTTTCTCTTACTTTTGGTCCTTGATTGCAAAGCCGGTTATCCATGAGTTCTTGGAACCCTGAAGCTTTACAACGTCCTCATTCCCAATTTTCATCTGTCTAGTTCTGCACCTTTTTCTAAGGTTTTTTAACATGCTTAATTGCTGACCACTGGTGGATTAAGAAATCACCTCATAGTCTGCTCTCATGTGAGGACCCCCTGTGAGCTGGCTTTGTGACAATTAAGGATTGATAATGCCCATAATATATAGAGAGATCAGGGATGCCTGGCTCTTTTGGGAAAGAGAGTCCTTTAGTCAGGAGATAACGTGCCAGCCGCTGTTCTGCCCACTGGGAAATCGGCACTGATCCAAACATAGAAAAGTCCATAGCCACCCATCATAGTGGGAGACATCTGCTGGATTGGTGAAGAGAGAAGCACTACTTTACAGAGTTGGCTTCTTAGACTGGTGGCTTCTCATTAAAGTGCAGACTGTTCAACTACCCAACCGGCCACCTAGAGGGTCAGTCAGAAAACTGACTAGTATTTGGGATACTAGGCAATGAGCTGTGACTCAGAGTAAGTTATTGTTACTAGGATCTGGTGGTGTGGTGTGTGGGAAATGTATTATGGCAGGAGAAAATTTAAAAATGGATTTTGGGTGGTGAAACATACACTACTTAGAGCTTTGCAGCAGAACTGAGAACGGTTTCAAGGTTACTCAGTATATTCTCTGGAAGGCAAGTAGCATTCTCAGAAATACCTGCATTACAGGTAGTGTTCTTAAACCATTTACTACTAAGATGGACTAAATGCACTATCCATTCTCCTAGCTTTCATAGTCAAGTCAGCTTTTGCCAGGCGTTAATTTCTGGCCAGAGTGGGATGTGTTTATTTCCTTTAATGGGAAAGCCTGTTTTCAGAAGCCAGAATGAGAAGGGTAACTGTATGGTTGACCCCTCCCCCCATCATGGTGTATAAACCCCACTTCAGAATCCAGTAATGTGTAAGACAGATTAAAATGAAAAATTAAATTTGATTATAAAGGAGCCTCACGGCATCAGAGGCGACTAGAGAGGTGTGACTCCGAGCATGAGCTCTTTGTGAATAAGCAGTGTTCACCTCTACTGAGCTTCTAGTATTTGGCTTTTAATAGTTCTGCTTACTTGTGATTGTTTCTGGTTTTCATTTTGATTCTCTCACTCATCATCAAGCTCACCAAGCAGTTATTACTCAAACAGGAAAATAGTCCTCATGCATGTGATATGCTTGCTTTCTAGATTTTATCACTATCACGACTGCCACCGTCATTGCTTGTGCTTCCCCACCACTGTCTGTCTTGCTTTTCAAGGCAGGCTGTTCCTGTGCTTTTATCCTTTTCCACTTGGGTTTCCTGTACCATAGGGGAACTTACTCTTCCCTTTACGCTGTATGTGCAGTAGCTATCCCCTTGTGGCTCCAGTGGGCACTAAGAAGTGAGCTAATACACACATTGCAGTAGATCCATGTCTTGCCTTGGTGGTAAGAAGCATGTGACCTTCCTCACTCTGCAGCTTCACCTCAGAATTAGCTATTACTCTAATACAGACATGCTTGTGTGTGCCATTCCCAGGGCCGTGGGGTTTAAACTTGACTTGAGAACAACAATGGATTATCAAGGGCTTGTAAATGGCAGAGTTGCTTCGGGCATGCTGCTGTGCTCTGGTGCTGCTTGGACCTGGAAAGCAGGAATATGTATGCATTTTTTTTTAGCCCCCAGCGTTACTTGGATATCTGAAGGCCTAGTGGCTCACAACTTACCTTAGTAGCTTTTATTTATTCTGCAGCAAATGTGAGATCTGGTAAGAAAGTGGGGGGTGAGGGAAGAAAAACAAGATCATGACTTTTCTTTCCCTCTTCCCTAAAACTTGCCTCTTCGAATAATCTTCAGTGTGCCCTCCAGCAGAGCCGAAATCAGGCAGGACACAGAGCCTTTCTTCCTTTCTCATCAAACCATAGAAATAGAATTCCTTCATCATAACCTCAAAGCTTCCTCCTTCCCTTTGCACTCCTACCTCAGCTGAATGTTCCTGTTGCTTCCATGTGCGAGTGCTTGCTCTTCTGGGAAGGAAGAGGAGGGGTGAGAATTCACGAACCAATTGAAACTGAGGTCATCTTCAGGAAAATCATGTCTTCCTGGAGTTGAATGATTCAGGCACACCACAGAGAACCTTCCTCAGGAGTAATCTTGGTTCTTAACTCATAGGCAATTGGGAGAGGTCAAAGCATTCCTCCCGAGTTTATATTTATGAATTTGTGTGTATGAGTCCAGGTGAAAAAGGTTTTTGAACAGAGCATGCTATCTCCTCTCGCTCGCCTCTTTCTGTTAAAGAATGGCTGAAGACTGTGGCATAGCATCCACATGGTTTGGGAACCCCATCTTTTCCTGGGCCAAGCAATCTACCTTTGCATTCCTTTAACTCCTGCTTTTAACCCTGCCTCAGGGCTCAAGAAATCCTCTTCTTTTGCCCTGCATTCTGCAGCATTCTAGAGCCTCATTGACCTTAGCGCACCTCCCTCATCAGTGTGGTGCTGGGAATAGGGTACTAAAAAGTTTCAGTACTCTAAGATACCATGTGAATGGGCTGAAAGAGGTCCCTGCCTGTTTGTGCCTACTATCATCCGGAGTTATTTAGCCTCATCCGCCACAACTCCTGAAGAGAGTCTGTTTTCATTACCCTGTTATGTTATGCCAGAACATGTGGCTAAACAAACCCTTGGACCCTTCCCCTCTCGCATGCGTTCCCAGCTTATCCTCTCCTCATTCAGTGGCTTGCCATTCATCATCCTGTGAAGTTTTCCCTCTTCCTGACGTTCTAACCCAAGCTTCTTATAATGGTTGTATTCTGGTGCTTCCTCTAATTCTAGGGACCAGTAGCACAAACACCGTTGGGGGAGCAGTGAACAGCCAAGCCGCCCAAGCTCAGCCTCCTGCCATGACGTCCAGCAGGAAGGGCACGTTCACAGATGACCTGCACAAGCTGGTAGACAATTGGGCCCGAGATGCCATGAATCTTTCCAGCAGGAGAGGAAGCAAAGGACACATGAATTATGAGGCAAGTCTTCCCTTTTTGTCATTTTCCTAATCTAGCAGAGTATCGCTGAGCACACATCTGAAGCAGAGGTGGTATCAACTACCTAGCTAGTGCTTAGCCTTTCATGCTGTAGCCTTCTGTAGCAGCTCATAAATTTTAACACCCAGTTACCCTTTTATTTGTCTTTGAATCCCTAGCTCCCTGTCAACTCAGTTTTTTCTCCCCTTTTCTCTTAATGCCCTGAATTGCATACACGTATATACACATGTACATGACTCTGCCCACTTCCAAGCGCACCCTTACTTGGCAAGTGTAAAGAGCCAATAATTATGAAAGGTTTGGTTTTGGTTTTACTATACCCTGTAAGGCTCGAACAGCCCCAGTTCTAGAATTAGATTTCAGTACCACCCATTTCACCTCTGGGTTATACCCACACCAAACTTGACATGTAGTTGTTTTGTTTTCAGGGCCCTGGAATGGCAAGGAAGTTCTCTGCACCTGGTCAGCTGTGCATCTCCATGACCTCAAATCTGGGTGGTTCTGCCCCCATCTCTGCAGCATCAGCTACCTCTCTAGGTCATTTCACCAAGTCTATGTGCCCCCCACAGCAGTACGGTTTTCCAGCTCCCCCCTTTGGCACTCAGTGGAGTGGGACAGGTGGCCCAGCACCACAGCCGCTTGGCCAGTTCCAGCCTGTGGGAACTGCCTCCTTACAGAATTTCAACATCAGCAATTTGCAGAAATCCATCAGCAACCCCCCAGGTTCCAACCTGCGGACCACTTAGACCTAGAGACATTAACTGGAGTAGATTTGGGGGCAGGAGATGGAATGCTGAAGGGGGCGGGGGGGGGGACGGGAAAGTAGCCTATATACTAACTACTAGTGCTGCATTTAACTGGTTATTTCTTGCCAGAAAGGAATGTTTTTAATACCGCTTAGAGCCCTCAGAGTTGAGAATCTCCCTCCCCCTTCACCATTTACTGGAGTGGAACGAGAAGGAAAGAGCAGCTTTCTTGTGATGGGGCGGCTTCAGACCATGCTTTCCTGTTTCTCTACACCCAATAGTGAGGGCTAGAAAAGAGAATCATGTATCAGAAAGCTACGAGAGAGCTCAGTGGAAAACCAAACCCCATCTTTATTTCAGATGGGTGGAGCTCTTAATTTTGGTACCCACCCCAAATCCCTTATTCCCTCAAGAATCTAAACCACAAGACAAAAAAAAACACAAAAAAACAAAACAGAAAAACTTTTGGGCTCTCTTCTACCCTGTTCCCCCCTCCCTTTTTTTTTTCTTTGTTTCTTTTTTCTTTTTTTTTTTTTGCTTTAGAACCCAGTGAAAAACACCAGGGGACTGAGGTTTCAACCCTTTCTTATGATAGGTCATTAGTGCTTTAAGCAAATGATATTAGCAGCTTTGACTGCAGCATTAGCAATTAGGAAAAAAAAAAATTAAGTCCCCTGCGGACATGTAACTTTGCCATCAGTTTTGATGTGGAAACACTGTGATATATAAATGTTGTTGGACAACAGTAGTTTTAAGAATAAAATATGAAAGGTTTAAAAAGTTGGAAAAAAAAAGCAAGCTCTGTCCTTTACTTATTGAGACACTTTAGCTTTTTCCTTTGTATTTCCATTGTAGTAGATAAATAAATGTGAATGTAAGATTGTATAAATTACTGTACTTGAATACTTCTGTTCTCCCAGTATTGCTTGCTGGATATTTTAGTGCCTTGGACTTCTACTGCTTCTGCCATTAGCACCAACTTCTCATCAGACCCCAGATCAGCAGAGGGCATATGGAAGGATATTAGGTCCATGTGACCCCAGCAGAGGATTATGCCAAAGGGAAACTGAGTTGTTTTTTTTTTTTTTTTAAGTCATTCAATTTTGTCTAGAGCAGGTGTAAGATGAGCAGGGTGAGAAGTTAAGTTGACATCAGTGGTTGAAAGCAGAAAGTTCTGTTTCAAGAACAGTAAGGAGGGGTGTGGTAACAAAACTGAGCAATTTAAAAGCATAAGGGTGGTGTGTGATAAATGAAAGAAAAAGAAAGACTAAGAACGGGAGAACAGACTTGTCAGGAAGATGTGTGCTGCCTGGCCCACAGGGTGCCATGAGCCTTACTTAAGCCAGGCTTGACAGACAAGACCTAGTGGAAATGGCTAAATATAAAGGGAAGGGGGTGGGGGCTAGTTTTTAAGTTGGGAAATGTTGATAGTGAAAAGTTACAGATGGAGAAAGATGCTCTAAGAAAAACTTTGGATTGCTTTCCTCTTGTTGCAAATGTATCATGCATTTCTCAGCTTAGGGTACTGTATTTTGTGGAAAGTGGACCCACATCTGAATTAAGCATTGTAAGAAAGAGTGGCTTATTCCTACTCGTTTCCTATGTGATGTCCAAATGGTTGCAGGATCATAAATCTGTTGTGCCACCTCTATTTCTAGAATTGCAACTGATATTCTCACATTCTCATATAAACAAATACTCCCCTTAAGTAATAACTGCAACCAATCAGTATTATATAGTGCTATGCCTAGTTGTAATGGGCAGTTCTATTATTTTCAGAGCTTTCAGGAAATACTCTCCTAATTGGCTATGTTTGGGATCTCTGTTATCTCCGAAGATGGGGAAAGAAGCTAGGACTCCTCTAATTTTTTGGGTGCTTCTTCTCTTGACTCTTGAGTTGGGAAATTGACACATTTCCAATCTCTTACCCACCTCAACAGCACATCCCAGGAATCACCACAATACGGGGAGCCTGGTTGGCTGTCCTATCCTGTTGTTCCTTCATGGGCCCTGTTTTCTTTAGTAAGTTAGCCTAGGTCCCAAAGATGCAAGTGAAAGCTGAAGGTTTAGGAAAGTAGAAATGAAAAGGACAGGGGTTCCAAGCCCTGCTTCAAAGTTGTTTACTTATTTATTCTCTGCTTAAGATTCTTGGGGAGATGGTAAGAGTAAGGATAGAACAACGAAGGTGCCAAGTAAATGAGAAACAGACCACCTAAGATGAATGAAACCATACTTTCTACTAGAGGAACGAGGGAACCAAATGCAGCACATAATTTTTTGTTACTTTGGTTTTATTTTGAGATCACTTACACACAAAAAGTAAGAACTGGTTTTATTTACTGTTGATTTTTTTTTCCCCCTCCTGTGGATGAAGTAACTGAAGCCTAGAGGAATGAACTAGTGCTACTGAACTGTTTAAATTATTTTTGTGTTAATAGTACACTTTGAGTATCTTTTTCCACATTACAAAAATCTTTCTGAATTATAAATGTTTTCCTTACATTATTTAACAATGTACACTGTTTAAAAAAGCAAATAAACGGAATTCAAACCTTGGGGGTTTCTCAGCAGCCGTTAATTGTACATTTTGCACTAACTCTGGGTGTTGCGCTTCTTGTAAGATTGCGCTTTGTGCTTCAGTTTGTTACCTTTGTAGACTTATTTAATGAAACCATTCAAATAAACCAAACTTGCTTTTGAGCTGTGGGGTTTCATTTCCAGCAAATTCCTTTTTCATGATCTCATTAGCTCAGTTTTCAGTTGTGTGCAATTTATAACTGGATTCCTGATTCCGGGAACTTTTTTAAAGCAGCAGTTCTGAACTAAACTAAGATTATGCTTCAGACAAGGGAGAGATTTTTTTTTTCTGGAAAAAAAATGGTAAGGATATCAAAACCAAAAGATGAACATATGACCAAATCCATGTAATGAGAGGTGAGATAAAGGGGAAATCAGGGTAAGCTAGAGCCTCTTCATCTTCCATAGGAATAGAAATGTCTGGCTGCCTTCCTGTACTTTAAGAGTTCCTTGCCTTGGGTTCATAGTTTCCCACAAATGGATCTGTGATCTAAAAATTAATAAAAGCCACAGCTTGAAGATGAGATAAAAGGCACAGCCCAAGATGCATCTTAAAAAGAACCTGCAAACTCATTATGGGGGTGGGGGGGCAGATTATGAAACATTTGAAACTATGAAAAAAACCCATTTATGTTAAGATGGGTTATATCTCACATCTGAAATGGAGAAGTACACCCACTTTTATTTTTTGTTACAAAGGAAAATTTATTTTACTTTCTTAAAATGCCTTTTCTTCGGTCTTAGATCATTTCCTTGATTAGGTAAAAAACTGCAGGATTGTGACACCATAAACCTATAAACGCGAGATTATCATAGATGAAGATCGCAGCCTGTATTGATGCAAGGTAGTTAAAAAACACTGTAGCTTTTGTTTTCGGAAGGATACACAATATGGTGTGGACAACATTAAACACCGAGCGCCAAGGTGAAAGGCAGATATTACAATAATTTCACATAGGCAGCTGTAAAAGCTGGTGCTTAGTAATAATATTGCTTGAAGGCAGGTAGGCACTGGGGATTCCTAAAATTTCTATACATACTAACATAGTAGCTTAGGAATAAATAGTGAAGAACGTTAAGAGCCAAAGAAAAGGTATTTAATCTCAGAGCCTCCCCGCTGCAGTGTATGACAAGCTTTTTTAAAGCGCTTGTTTTCTGACTGCTCAGCTTTACCTACACAAGGCTCCAATAGTCAAATCCTCTGGTAAAGTTCAGAACGAAGCAAGGTAAATCCTTGGAAATAAAGCTCATTCCCTGGGAATGATGAACAGTTTTATGACCTAAAAGTAGTTTTTGAAAGTCCCTTTGTGACAAAGTCCAAGGATGTGACCTGAGCCTCCATTAGGATGGATCCAATTTCCTTTTCTTCAAGTCCTGGTTCTTCCCATAGATACCACAGTTTCCTATGGGAGAAAAAATAATTTAAATGTGGCTGCTGTGATTTTTCAAATAAGGAATAAACTGACAGCTAATAATTTCTGAACTGTGTTTGTTAACAATCCTAACTTAAACTAAAAAGCCAAGAACGAAAATTGTTATGAGGGCAGATCCTTCTGTTAACGCTAGATCCAGCTGCAATAACCAAACACGATGGGCCTGATTTAATAAGGAAAAGCTCTTCATTCATTTCGTGGTTAAACTTCCTACTACTGTAAAGGGTTACTAGGGGCTACACCTCTAGTCAGGACCTCAAAGGAAAAGCTGTGGCTCATAAACCAGTTGTTTTCTTGGACTGCTGTTCCTCTGGCATGATAGCACCCAACTTCTTCAAATGGAATGTCATGCTTCCTTTAAAATGCAGAGAATTAAACCCAAGTTCTCCTTTCAATTTTTGTTCCTAAACACTTCGCTACCTGTTACATCTTGGTTGCTATTGTGAGTTTGGAGGTGCGAGAGTCCAGATTTTGCTTGTGGATTCTGGTGGCAGAGGTTCTGTGGGGTCCTGTCCCAGGTCACCATCCGGTTCTTCAGGACTGATGTAGCAGAGGTCTGGAGCAGTTCTGGTTTAGACAAGGGCTTGACATCACTGTCGCTTGCATCTGGATCCATATCCCACATTCCGAGACTGTCTGTGAGGACCGAGATCATGAGAAAATGCAGCATCAACCAGTGCTCCCACATAAAGCACTGGGGAAAACTGGTCATGAGAAATTCCATGTCGTGCGTGGCCTACGACAGCTCCTGGGATTTCTCTTGCCCCTACCCCTAAAAGTACCGTGAAGCTTCTCTTAGGACAATAGAGGAGTTGAGTGTGTGCTCTCAGAACTGCCATCAGTCCATTAGGGGTCCTCTTTTTTTCCCAAAACTTCACGGGGCTATCCAACAGATAAAAATGAGGGGTTTTATGCCTCTTTTAAAATGTGTTAGTGACTACCGAAAGTGCATGTCCTAGGTACTTACTGATCAATGCTTAGGTCCTGCCCGGAGCTCTTACTGACCTGTAAGGAAGTCCTCTGTGAGTGGTTCGGAAACGGCAGTTACGGGAGTGCTGTGCTTGCGAGGAGCTGCTGACAGTGCTGCTGGAGTTCAGACAGCGAGAGCGAGCAAGAGCGAGAGGAAGGACAAAACCAGAGAGTCACGTAACTGTTGGAGCGAGCACCTCAGAAGTGCAAAGCTGCCTAGAGTTCCACCGGTTCCTCGCACAGCCAGTAGGAGATTCGAGATTCCTGATCCCCGTCCCTACCTACAGATCTACAAGAAGCTAAAAAGACTTTTTTTCTTCTCACCAAATTGCGGGGGGGGAGAGTTCATTTCTCCTTAAGCAGCAAAAATAGAGGGGTTATTAGAAGCTATCTGGTCCACTTTTTACTTTTTAAAGCTATAAGCTTTGCTCGAAAAAATCTTAAGCAGAAATTCAAAATGTAAAACCAATATAAACTGCGGCTCTGGCTGTGGGATCCGGGGTGGGGGGCGGCCTCCCCGCCAGGAGCTTCTGCAATGGTTTGGAAGCTCAAGATCCAGAATAATAGTTACTATTAAGAACATCCCCAACACAGTAAGCTTTTTTTCCCCCCCTACATTAAGCCTGTCAGTGCTGAGCGGAATATTAATGAACTAAACACGAAGAAAGTCCTCTGAATCTTTCTTAGGGAGAAGCTGGGCAAAAATCCAGCTGGTCTGGGATAAGCCCTTTCTTTGTTTTTACTCTCTGGGAAAGACTAAAAAAAAAAAAAAAAAAATCTGCTACTACCACCAGGCCTGGATCAAGTAAACTGATGTTCATGGATGAAGCACGGCCCAAAGCCCCCATTATCGTCAGACAATTCTGCCTTCTGTTCACGGACTACTCAGAAAAGCTTTCTAGCAAACGCGGCCAAAGTACCTGGAAGGAAAAAAACCGTTCTCTACCCTGAAATTTCTAGTTCTAGATTATGTCAAGGGCCATTTCCTTCCCTAAAAAAAGGAGTGCCTTTAAAAATGGGGAAATGCAGGGCAGGACTTCATGATCGTAGTGCTCAGCCTCCTCTACGCGGCGTGGAACCTGAGAGAAGGCCTTCGAGGGCTGCTCGGCGGCGAACCGCCGCTCCCAGCCTCCTCACGCACGCGGAGGCTCGGGCGCAGCGCCGGAGCGGACCGCTGAACCTGCCGCTGCTCCTCCTTCTGCTGCCGGAACTGCCGCTGCAACTGTTTCTGGCGCAGCTTCCGCTCGTACGTGGCGTCGCTCGCGGCGGCAGACGGCCGCAGGCTGCATCCCAAGAGAACGAGGCGGGTGAGTCCCCAGCGAGCGCAGGGAGCAGCGGGAGCGGCGGGCCGGGCCGGGCCGGGCCGGGCCGGGCCGGGGGGGCGCGGGGAGGGCACGGCGCACAAGCCACCGCGCTGGCTCAGCCCGTGAAAATGGAGGAGGGGAGGAGGGGAGGACGGGGAGGGAACCAGGGCCACACCGGCAGCTGCTGGCCTTCTCCTCCTGCACCACAGTGGGCGGATCATCCGAGCGGCTAGGTCTGCAAGGCGAGGTCACCTCCGGTGGTTCAAGGGATCCCGGAGCCACGTTCTGCCGGCAGCTGCTGTATCTTGCTTGTTCCACAGATGGTTCAAAATCTTGTCTCTTTGCTCTCGTTAGATCCACTTCAAGAGGCAACTAAAAAGGGAAGAAAGGGGCTAAATACCTTCTTCCAACTGCACTTGCCCTCCTTTGTCCCCGCCGTAACCTTCTAGGTTCCTGGAAAATGGCATCTGACAGTCCTCCATCCATCATTCCCTCTAGGTCCTGAGAAGCTGAGACAACGGATCCACATTTCACCTTGTATTTTTTTTTTTTTAAGATTTTATTTATTATCTGACAGAGAGAGACACAGCGAGAGAGGGAACACAAGCAGGAGGAGTGGGAGAGGGAGAAGCAGGCTTCCCGCCGAGCAGGGAACCCGATGTGGGACTCGATCCCAGGACCCTGAGATCATGACCTGAGCGGAAGGCAGATGTTTAACCAACTGAGCCACCTAGGCGCCCTCACCTTGTATTTTTAATTACAGGAGGAGAAGTAAAACAATTTCGTGTTCTACTTTATACCATTCTGTATTAATCACGTTTTGATAAAAAGGAATCTTACTTTATGATTCAGGGCAAATGGTCTGTAAACCCTAATTTGAATCTCTCGTTGTCAGCCGGATCTGTCTGATGCTGTCTACTTTTTCTCTTTTTCATGGAAATGATCACACGGACTCTTTGTGGAGGCCTACCCTTTCTCTGCCCTTTCTCCCAGGACTTGCCCCGAAATACAACACTCATCACTGAAGAAGCCTCGGGTTGCTGTGGCACAACTAAGTGTCCTTCCAATGACAGGAAGGGGAAAACTTGCAAAGCACAGGTGTAGGCTGCTAGCCAAGGCCGCTGGAAATCTCCCAGTTTGGGGTCGTTCCTGCATCTCACCAAATGTGAGAACTAACGATACTTCATGGCATTTGGCACAATGTTTTACTTCCAGGCCCTAAGCACTACAGAAACCCAGAGCTTTTCACTTGGGAGAACTTCTCTCTCAATTCATATCGATAGAATAATTGAATAGGAGAAATTGAGACAACTACCATTTTGATAAAGATAACCTGAAAATGAAAATTGTATTATGAAATTTCTTATCTACATTGGAAAGTAAATAAGTAGGTTAAAAATAACTGAGCTTGGGGCACCTGGCTGGCTTAGTCGGTAGGGCCTGCGACTCTTGACCTTGGGGTCGTGAGTTCAAGCCCCCATGTTGGGGGAAGAGATTACTTAGAAAATAATAATAATATATTTTTTATTTGAAATAAAAATAACTGAGCTTATGCTACAAGGATGAACACTGAGGACATTATGCTAAGTGAAGTTAAGGCAGTCACAAAAGGGCAAATATGTATGGTTCCATTTATTATGAGGTATGTACTTAAGAGTCAAAAAACAAGACAGAAAGAAGAATGGCAGTTGCCAGGGGCTGTAGGGAAGAGGAAGCAGGGAACTGTTGTTACAGTTTCAGTTTTATAAGAAAAGAGTTATAGAGATGGATGGTGCCGATGGTTGCACAACATAACGAAGGTATTTAATACCACTGTCTGTTCACCTAAAATAGTTAAGATGGTAAATTTCAGGCTTTTGTTGTTGTTATTTTGTTGCTTTTGTTAAAGATTTTATCTATCTATCTATCTATCTATCTATCTATTTGGCAGAGAGAGAGAGAGAGCACAAGCAGGGGAGCGGCAGGCAGACAGAGAAGCAGGCTCCCCACTGAGCAGGGAGCCCGATGTGGGGCTCAATCCCGGGACCCTGGGATCATGACCTGAGCCGAAGGCAGACGCTTAACCATCTGAGCCACCCAGGCACCTCAAGATGGTAAATTTTGTTTTGTATAAATTACTGCAAGTAGAAAAAATGGGGGAAAGTGAGCTGTGAAAAAAGCTTAAAAGACACACAATGCTGAGTGCTGTCAAGGATATGGAACAGCTGAAATTGTACACTGCTGTGCAGAAGTATGAAGTTGTACAACCACACTGGAAAACTGGAAGAATCTGTTAAAATGAAACATGCCTATCCTCTAACCTGACCCAGTAATTCCCAAGATGAATGGGTGTGTATGTGCACCAAAAGACGTGTACAAGAATGCTAACAGCAGCCCGATTCAAAACAATGAAGAACTACCAAAAAACTCCACTGTCTATTATAAAGTCAGAATGGAAAAATGAGTTGTGCTATGCTCATGCAATAGAAAAGTATACAATGAAAATGCTACATGCAACGTGAATTAATCTCGCAAACATGTCGAATGAATGCCAGACACAAAACAGTCCATGTGTTTGGTTCCCAAAAGTACAAAAAGTCCAAACTAATCTATGTTGCTAAAAGTGGTTTCCCTTAGTAGTGATGAGAAGGGGAGTCCTTGGCAGTGACATCAAGGACAGTACTGAGACTTCTGGGACACTGGTAATGTTTTATCTTGATTTTGATGCTGGTTAAGTGAATGTGTTCATCACACTGAACATTTATGATTAGTGTACTTTTCTACATGTTTATATGTACACTTTAATACTTCAGTGAATTTTTATAAAGAACAATTTCATTTATATAAAGTTCAAAAACAAGAAAAAAAATCTACAAGACTGGGGCACCTGGCTGGCTCAGTCGTTAGAGCATCCAACTTTTGATCTCGGGGTTGCAAGTTCGAGCCCCACGTTGGGTGTAGAGATTACTTTTTTAAAAAAGAAAGAGGGCGCCTGGGTGGCTCAGATGGTTAAGCGTCTGCCTTCGGCTCAGGTCATGATCTCAGGGTCCTGGGATGGAGTCCCGCATCAGTTTCCCTGATCAGTGCAGAGCCTGCTTCTCCCTTTCCCTCTGCCACTCCCTCTGCTTGTGCTCTTCTATCTGTCAAATAAATAAATAAAATCTTTTTTAAAAAAAATAATAAATAATAAATAAAAAAAGAAAGAAAGGGGCGCCTGGGTGGCTCAGTCAGTTAAGCGTCTGCCTTTGACTCAGGTCCTGACCCCAGGGTCCTGGGACCGAGCCCTGCATCCGGCTCCCTGCTCCACGGGAGGCCTGCTTCTCCCTTTCCCACTCCCCCTGCTTGTGTTCTCTTTCTCGCTATATCTCTGTCAACTAAATTAAAAAAAAAAAAAAACAACAACTATGAGGCTGAAAGTCAGAATAGAGAAGTCAGGACAATAGTTACTTTTCAAAAGAGAAGTCAAGGTAGTGAATGGGAGGGGGCAAATGGTACCCTGGGGTGCTGGTAAGGTTTTAGTTTCTTATCTGGGAGATAAGTAACTCTGTTCACTTCTAAAAATTCATCAGGCTGTGCCATTACAAATTACATAGTTTTCTGTGTATATATCACACTTCATTTTTAAAAATCTTTAAAAAAATAAAAGAGTGAAAAAGAAAAGGAAAAGGATGTTATCAGAATGGTAGACTCGGAAGCTCCAGGCGCCCCCTCCTCCTAGAGACACTGGGTTAACAATATACAGACTAGAATACCTTTGTGAGAACTCCAGTGGCCAGCTGAGAAGCTACAGGCCTCAGGCCAGCATAAAACCAAGACAAAATTCCAGCAAAAGGGGTAGGAAAATTCATGGGTGGCATTTTGCATGCCCACTCAGGCCCCTGCCCCTGCCCTCATCCAGCATAGAGCAGTACAACCAGGAGGAAACTTCCCATCCTGGGCTCTGCCTCTGGGATGGAAACAAAAGAGTAGACTGTACCTACGATGTTGTGGCTGGTCTGGGGGCTGCCCAAGGCATTGGTTTCTGTCTCACCTGACTCAGCATGCTGATGGGACCAGCAGAGTTTTAAAGTCACTAAAAACAGAGATAAGCACCAGAACAAATTGGACCTACAGGGGTGCAGTCAGATGCCAGGAGGAGAAGGAGATCCTAAAAGGTTTGGGAGGTCCTAGGACCTCTAGCTGGGCTGACTGTTTAAGGTCTTCCCCTGCACAAAACCAGTACATAAAAACTGGGAAAGGTGGTTGTTTTCTCAAATGACACATCTCAACAAAAGATCACAAGGCATAGAAAGAAACAGGGAAATGTGGCCCAAACAAAGGAACAAAATCTTCTCCAAAAACTGACCCCCCCCCAAAAAAAATGCAATCTATGTGCTACCTAACAATGAATTTTAAATAATGGTCATAAAGATACTCAATCAGCTAAGAGAGAACACACACAACTAAATGAAATCAGGAAAATGATGCATGAATGAAATGAGAAGAATACCAACAAAGAGAAACTATAAAAAAGCAGCTAACAAGTTCTGGAACTGAAAAATATAATAACAGCTGAAAAGTTCACTAGAGGGGTTTTACAGCAGACTTGAACTGACAGAAGAAAGAATCAGCAACATGAAGACAGGTCATTTGAAATCATCTCCTCAGAGAAGCAAAAAGAAGAAAGAATGAAGAAACATGACAGAGCCTAAGGGGCCTATAGGACACTCATCACGCTATATATTAAGAGTCTCAGAAGAAGAGAAAGAGAAAGGGGCAGAGAGATTATCTGAGGAATTAATGGCTTAAAACTTCCAAAATCTAAGGAAAGAGAAGACATACAAATTCAAGAAGCTCAAAAAACTACATCTAGGACAAACGCAAAAGCCTCACACCAAGGCACATTATAATCAAACTGCCAGAAGTCAAAAACAGTATCCTAGTAACAAACTACCAGAAAGAGAAATTAAGAAAACAAACCCATTTATAATTGCAACAAAAAGAATAAAATATTCAGCAATAAATGAATCAAGGAGGTAAAAGACCTATAGAGTGAAAACTGTAAGACATCGATGAAAGAAACTGAAGAATAAATAGAAACATATTCCATGCTGTGGATTGGAAGAATTAATATTGTTAGAATGCCCAACAAACCAAAACAATCTCCAGATTCAGTGCAATCCCTATCAAAATCCCAATGGCATTTTCCACAGAAATAGAACAATCCTAAAATTTGTATGAAACCACAAAAGACTCCAAATAGCCAAAGCAAACTTGAGAACAAAGCTGAAGGCATCATGCTACCTGATTTCAAACTATATTATAAAGCTATAGTAGTCAAAACAGCATGGTACTGACATAAATACAGACACCTAAAACAAAGGAACAAAATAGAGAGCTCAGAAAGAAACCCATGTTTATACAATCAACAAATTTATGACAAAGAAGCCAAGAGTGTACAATGTAGAAAGGACAGTCTCTTCAATAAATGGTCTTGGGAAACTGGACAGCACATGCCAAAGAATGAAACTAGACCACTATCTGACACAATACACAAATATACTCAAAACGAAGTACAGACTTGAGTGTAAGACCTGAAACCATAAAACTCCTAGAAGAAAACACAGGAGATAAGCTCCTTAACATTGGTTTCGGTGATGACTTTTTGGATCTGACACCAAAGCAAAGCCAACAAAAGCAAAAATAAACAAGCACGACTACATCAAACTAAAATGCTTCTGCACAGCAACAGAAACTGTCAACATGAGGGCGCCTGGGTGGCTCAGTTGGTTAAGCGACTGCCTTCGGCTCAGGTCATGATCCTGGAGTCCCTGGATCGAGTCCCGCATCGGGCTCCCTGCTCCGCGGGGAGCCTGCTTCTCCCTCTGCCTCTCTCTCTCTCTCTCTCTCTCTGTCTCTCATGAATAAATAAATAAAATCTTTAAAAAAAAAAAATCCTCCAAATTCTAGCCCACCAAATTCAATAGCACATTAAAAGAATTATACACTGTGACCAAGGGGGATTTATTCATAGGATGCAAGGATGGGTCAACTCCACAAATCAATCAGTGTGATACACACCACAGTAACAAAAGAAGGGACAAAAGCACATGCTAATCTCAATTAATGCAGAAAAAGCATTTGATAAGACTCAATACCTTTTTGTGATAAAAATATTCAACAAACTAGGAATAGAAGAAATATACCTCAACATAATGAAGGCCTTATATGAAAAACCCACAGCTAACATCATACTCAATGGTGAAAGACTGAAAGCTTTTCCTAGGAACAAGGCAAGCTTTTCAGGAACAAGGCAAGGATGCCACTCTTACTACTCATACTCAGCATATCGGAAATCCTAGCCAGAGCAATTAGGCAAGAAAAAGAAATAAAAGGAATCCAAAGTGGAAAAGAAGTAAAATTATCTCTAGATGCAGATGACATGATCTCATGTGCAGAAAACCCTACAGACTACCAAAAAAAAAAATTATTAGAACTAATAAACAAATTCAACAAAGTTGCAGGATACAAAATCAACACACAAAAATCAGTTGTGTCTATACACTAGTAATGAACAATCCAAAAAGAAAATGAAGAAAACAATCCATCTACAATAGCATCAAAAGAATAAAATACTTAGTAATAAACCTAACCAAGAATGTGAAAGACTTATACACTGAAAACTGCAAAACATTGCTAAAAGTAATTAAAGAAGCCACAAAAAAATGGAAAGACATCCCATGTTCATAAATTGGAAGACTTAATATGGTTAAGATGCCCATATTACCAAAGTGATCTACTGCTTCGACACAAACCCTATCCAAATTCCCATAGCATTATTTGCATTAAAAAAAAATCATCCTAAAATTCATATAGAATCTCAAAGGACTTCAAATAGTGAAAACAATATTGAAAAAGAAGAACAAAGTTGAAGGGCTCATACCTTCTGATTTCAAAACACACTGCAAAGCTACAGTGATCAAAATGGTATGATACTGCCATAAATACAGACACACAGTCCAATGGAATAGAGAGCCCAGAAATAAACCCTTGCATAAATGATCAAATGAATATCAGCAAGCGTGCCAAGACCACTCAATGGGGAAAGGAGAGTCTCTTCAACAAATGATGCTGGGAAAACTGGATATCCACATGCAGAAGAATGAAGTTAGACCTGTATCTTACATCATAAACAAAAATAAATTCAAGATAGATTAAAGACTTAAACATAAGACCAAACCCATAAAACTCATAGAAGAAAATATAGGGGAAAAGCTTGATGACATTGGATTTGACAAGGATTTCTTGCATATGACACTAAAAGCACAAAGCAAAAATACACAAATGGGACAATGTCAAACTTAAACATTTTAAAGGCAACCTATGAAATAGGAAAAAAAAAATTGCAATCCTGTCTCTGATAAGGGGTTAATATTCAGAATAGATACAGAATTCCTATAACCCAACAACAAAAAATTAAAATCCCCAATTTAAAAATGGGCAAGGAACTTGAATAGACATTTCTCCAAAGATGATATACAAATGGTCAAAAAGCATATGAAAAGATGTTCAACATCGAAACTTATCATCAGAGAAATGCAAATCAAACCCACAATAAGAGAGCACCTCACACCCACTAGGATGGCTGCTATCAAAAAAGCAGAAAATAACAAGTGTTGGTAAGGATGTAGAGAAATTGGAGCACTTGTGCACTGTTGGTTGGACTATAAAATGTTGTGGCCACTACAGAAAACAGTGTGGACGTTCCTCAAAAAACTACCATATGGGAGAGCCAAGATGTCCACCGACAGATGAATGGATAAAGAAGATGTGGTAGATATATACAATGGAATATTATGCAGCCATCAAAAGGAATGAGGTCTTGCCATTTGCAACGACGTGGATGGAACTGGAGGGTATTATGTTGAGCGAAATAAGTCAAACAGAGAAAGACATGTATCATATGATCTCACTGATATGAGGAATTCTTAATCGCAGGAAACAAACTGAGGGTTGCTGGAGTGGGGGGTGGGGTGGGAGGGATGGGGTGACTGGGTGATAGACACTGGGGAGGGTATGTGCTCTGGTAAGCGCTGTGAATTGTGCAAGACTGTTGAATCTCAGATCTGTACCTCTGAAACAAATAATGCAATATATGTTCAGAAAAAAAAAAAAAAAAGAAGGAGGAGGTAGCAGGAGAGGAAGAATGAAGCGGGGGAAATCGGAGGGGTAGACGAACCATAAGAGACGATGGACTCTGAAAAACAAACTGAGGGTTCTAGAGGGGAGGGGTGGGAGGATGGGTTAGCCTGGTGGTGGGTATTGAGGAGGGCACATTCTGCATGGAGCACTGGGTGTTATGCACAAACAATGAATCATGGAACACTTCATCTAAAACTAATGATGTAATGTATGGGGATTAACATAAGAATAAAAAAAAAAAAAACTACCATATGGGGACGCGGGGGTGGCTCAGTCAGTTAAGTGTCCAACTCTTGATCTGAGTTCAGGTCTTGACCTCAGGGTGGTGAGCTCAAGCTCTGTGTAAAAAAAAGAACAAAAACACTACCATATGATCCAGCAAACCCACCTCTGGATATATCCAAAATAACTGAAAGCAGGGTCTTAAAGAGGTATTTGCAAAACCATGTTCATAACAGCACTATTCTCAAGTCAAGAGATGAAAGCCACCAGATGTCCATTGATGGAAAAATTAAAGAAAATGTGGTGTATGCATACAGTGGATTATTCAGCCTTAAAAAGGAACATAATTCTTTTTTTTTTTTTTTAAGGACTTTATGTTTAAGTGATCTCTACACCCAACATGGGGCTTGAACTTAAACCCTGAGATCAAGGGTCCCACACTCTACCGACTGAGCCAGCCAGGCATGCCGAAAAAAGAGGGTACTTCTGACACAAGCTACAACATAGATGCAACTTGAGGCCATTATGCCAAGTGAAATAAGTCACAGAAAAACAAACAGTATGATTCCACTTGCATGTGGTGTCTAAAGTGGTCAAATTCACAGGAACTGGAAGTAGAATGCTGGTAACCAGGGGCTGTGAGAAGGGGAAATGGGGGGTTGTCCTATGGGTGTGAAGTTGCAGTATCCCAAGATTAAAAGTTCTGGAGATCTGTTTCATCAGTGAACTATACACTTAAAAATGGCTAAAATGGTCAATTTTGTTATTTTTTTACCACAATAATAAAAAAACCCCCTAATATCGCTCATAAACACAGATGCAAAAATTCTTAAAATATAAGCAAGCGGAGGCCAATAGTGTATAAAAGGATTTTAACAAGGGAAAGTGGCGTTTTGACGGCTGCCAAGTGCCACTCCCGGCTGTCAGGTGTCCCCAGGCGGCAGCCGTGGGCGGCGGCACCGCGGGGCTCTTCGAGAACGCCCCGGCCCGGCCCCGGCCCCGGAGCCGGCAGCCACTCCGCCGGCCACAGGCACGCTCCGCCCCCCCCTCAGCCCCGCCAAGAGCGAGGCCAGGGCCGCGCCATTCCGGACCCCTGTCTCCAAAGGCCAAGGCGCGGCTCGCGTGATAGGCTCGGGCAGAGCCAAGGGCATCTACGCCGCGGCCCCTCGAGCGCAGGAGCAGCAAGAAGGCTGAAGAGGTGGGTTCTTGCTGAGTGTTGCTAAGGAACCACCGGGCGCTGCCGGGGCTCTGTGCTCCTTTTGAGGTTTCACAGACCGTTCCGAACACAGCTCTCGGGCGGAAGAAAGCAAGTGGCACCGATTCTCGAGGCTTCAATTCCTCCAGCAGGAAAATAAGGTGACTGGTTCCTGCTGGCTCTGGTGGTCAAACAAGTCTGAAATGCACATTCCAGACCCTCGAAAGAGCTGAGTCTCCCCTTCTCTCTCCCTCCCGGAATACTCAACCCATGCCAGCCGGAAAATAGTCCTATCTTTACTGTGCTGCATTCCATCCATCCATTTCTAACATACCTGGCGGGGAAGCTTATTTAGTGACCTCAGACAGTCTTTGTCCAGAATACAATTTCCAAGTGCATTCCCGAAACTTCTAAGGGTAAGGAAAGAAAAAAAAAAGAGCGAGAAACAGGTTGAGAATGATTAGGTGTAAATATCAGAGACCAGATACCTTTGTGGCAAGGTGCTTCTCAACTGCAGCAGAGGAGATGGTACCTAATATACATGCAGTAACGTTTCCTGGGCACGTGCCATGTTCACGCCCTCTGTATGAGGCTCTCAGAATACAGCACAGGGCCTAACAGTCACCAGTCTCTGCCCTCAACAAGAGGTAAGGAGGGGTGCCTGGGTGGCTCAGTTGGTTAAGCGACTGCCTTCGGCTCAGGTCACGATCCTGGAGTCCCGGGATCGAGTCCCGCATCGGGCTCCCTGCTCGGCAGGGAGTCTGCTTCTCCCTCTGACCTTCCCCCCTCTCATGTGCTCTCTCACTCTCTCAAATAAATGAATAAATAAAATCTTTAAAAAAAAAAAACAAAAAAAAAAACAAGAGGTAAGGAGGACGAAAAGACTAAGAAACCACAAAACCCCATTAGCACCAACTCCAGAGCAGAGAATTCTTTTTCCAAGGACGGTTCCAATTCCCCAATAATAGTGGGCAACACACACTTAGGGCACATCCTCCTCCATGACTGAAGTTCTTTACTTGGGACATCTGGCCTCCTGTATGGGTTATGGTACAGCAAGTTTTTAGTGTAGGTTCATACATGTGTGATCCAATTCACTTCAATTCTCAAAGGCCATGTAAGACCCCAAAAAAGGTTAAAAAAACCCTTGTTCTATGCACCTAAGTTGTACATACCCAAGGAAACACTGTTTAGGTGTTTTAAAGAGAATGGGGAAGCTATCTCTGTCCTTGTGTGGAAAGGTCTCCAAGACACACGACTGAGATGGGGGTAAGCAAAGTGAAGTACAGAGTAGAGAATATAGTATTCTACCACTTGATCCCAAAGAAGGCAGACCTAAGCATAAAGAAGCATGGGGAAAATACGAAGTGTAGGAAACAGGGCCGAGGGGGACAAGGGGGAGTGAGACGTGGGTTATTTTATTATTTTATAAAAATATATATATAAATTATAATTTATAAAGTTATTTTAACTTTCGTACCACGTGAACGAATTATGTTTTAAACAAACGAACAGGAAATAAAACTGACGCAGGTTAAACCCCAGCCCTTGTGCTCACCTCAGCGCTCGCTTCAGCCCGTCGGTCACGGCCTCCTTCCTGGCCTTCTCCAAAGACAAGGCTTTTGACTTGAGGCCCTCACTGACACCATAGCCCACATCTTCATGATATGAGCCATCCTGCGGGTAGAAAAGGAGTTCAGACTCCAACATGAAAAGCTGCAGCCGCGTCCCTGGTTCCACAGCTTTTCTCGCCCTCAAGGGCGTTCGCACCAGGCGCACAGAACCCAGGCGCCTTGCTAAAGGGCACACGGGCACAGAGTTGGAAGAGAATTAATTTCCAGCACTACCTTCTAGACCTGATCTCCGCGTAAATGTGCAAGACAATTCTCCCTTCCCACTTCCTCTTTCACATAAAAAAGGCACATATCTGGGGCGCCTGGGTGGTTCAGTCTGTTAAGCATCTGCCTTCGGCTCAGGTCATGATCTCAGGGTCCTGGGATCGAGCCCTACATTGGGCTCCCTGCTCAGCAGGGAGTCTGCTTCTCCCTCTCCCTCTGCCTGCCGCTCCCCCTGCTTGTACTCTCTCTCTGACAAATAAATCAATAAAATCTTTAAAAAATAAAAAATATAAATAAAATAAAATGAAATAAAAAAGACACATAGCTAACCCACCCTAAGTCTTACTAAGGTGCATTACCCCAAGGTATAAAAACCTCTGGGACACTAAACAAAAGGAAAATGTGAAATACTGTATTTAACAGACTCTTAACGACTGGATAGCAAATCTTTTTATGGGTTAGGCAGGTATCCATTTCTTGGCTTTCACCAAAAATGAAGGTACACCTGATCAAGTTATTAGCTGATAGAGAACCAAATATAATTTTGGATGACAGGACTCTGATTTTTGAGGTATAACTCAGAAAGCTTATTCAAAGAAATGAGTGACACTGTAACAACACTCTCTCCATTCCCAGTTTATTTATGTAAGGTTTTTCAGTACTAATTATAAAAATGAGAAGTTAGAATAGAATTAATGCTGAATGTTCTATCTAGGAAAAAGTAATATTAAATGATGGACATATAAACTATCTAAAAAGAAAAAAAGCTTCATCCATCTTATTAATAAATGCATTTTCCTGGGGCCCGTGGGTGGCTCAGTCGGTTAAGCATCTGCCTTCAGCTCAGGTCATGATCCCAGGGTCCTGGGATCAAGCCCTGCGTCGGGCTCCCTGCTCAGCGGGGAATCTGCCTCTCCCTCTGCCTGCCACTCCCCTACTTGGGCTCTCTCTCTCTGACAAATAAATAAATACAATCTTAAAAAAAAAAAAGAAATGCATTTTCCATAAAAATTCATTTTTTTTAAGTATATAAATTTTGATGTAGTTATTTTGTCCCCCTCATAGACCCAATTGACTGATTAATTTTGTGTTAATAATACCTGTAATAGTAACTCAATCCAGAAGAAATTTTTTATAATTTAGAGCCTTAAGGTCACTGAAAATTTACCCAAAAAAATTACTTTTAGGGGCGCCTGGGTGGCTCAGTCGTTAAGTGTCTGCCTTCAGCTCAGGTCCTGATCCCAGGGTCCTGGGATCGAGCCCCGCATCGGGCTCCCTGCTCTGCGGGAAGCCTGCTTCTCCCTCTCACACTCCCCTTGCTTGTGTTCCCTCTCTCGCTGTGTCTGTCTCTCTGTCAAATAAATAAATAAAAAATCTTAAAAAAAAAAAAACTTTTATATACACATACATACACACACAGAGGAATATGCTAAGGTTATTAATAAAAGGTTCTGAACACATATAATATATATAAAATATATATTCCAAACATATACATATATTCCAAACATGTATTTTGTTTATACATATATACATATACATACACATATATACATACACACACACACATATATATATATACTGACAAAAGCCAATGGGGAGATAGAATGGAAATATGAGTTTGAGAAGAAACAATGTAAAATTTCTCATGATTAAAGAATTAGCTGGGGCGCCTGGGTGGCTCAGTTGGTTAAGCGACTGCCTTCGGCTCAGGTCATGATCCTGGAGTCCCGGGATCGAGTCCCGCGTCGGGCTCCCTGCTCAGCAGGGAGCCTGCTTCTCCCTCTAACCCTCCCCTCTCTCATGTACTCTCTCTCTCTCTCTCATTCTCGCTCTCTCAAATAAATAAATAAATCTTTAAAAAAAAAAAGAATAGCTTGCTCGTGTATTTTTTTAAGTGGATGACAGTATTTAATCGTTTATGATATTTAAAATCCATTGGTACATTTAAAAAGGATGTAACAAAATATACGTGGAATAAAGGGGACAAAGGAGACACTTATCCTGATGAGCCGTGAGAAATGTACGGAAGTGTTGAATCACTATATTGTACACCTGACACTAATATACCACCATATGTTAATTACACTTGAATAAAAAAGGAAGATAAAAATGTAACAGATTTATTTTAGAATGTCAGATTTTACAATATGCTAAAAAACATACCGTTGCAACTACAGGTTTGCCCTGTTATCCAAAAGTAGAATGTTCTCATGAAAACTTTCGTAAGCCAAAATGGCATAAAGCAGAGAATTACCATTAATTTATATGGAAATGCTTTCTGAGCATTCCCAGATGCAAAAAATAACCTCTCTTAGGCTTTTCTGATACCTTAGGACACATCTTGCTAACGGATGCACAAAACATATGGAGATAAAACACAGATGCTCACAGATGGCGTTCAAAGCTCTGCCGAGATGCTGAGTGTGGTTCCCAGGGATGGACTCGCGGGGCCACTCTTGCCACCAGGCTGTGCCTTTTTTCATAAAAGCGAAAATCTTCTCTGGATTTCTTTCAGTTAAGCGAAAACAGGTACCAGCATAGGTCTTTCATAAAAGCAGAGTGGTGTAACACAAAATTTTGAAATGCAGAGGATCTGCATTTATATTTTGGGTGAAAATTTTTAGGTGTCAGCTTAAAATGTGCAGGAAAACACAAGTTTTTCAGAATTCATTTAGGGGGCACGTGAGTAAGAATGTTTGGGTACCACCATCCTAAGGAACACTGGCTGAGCCCCAGCTCTAGAGCCTAGCTCTCTAGGCCCAGGCCAGAGAATTCTCTACCTGCTCATTCTCTCTTACCACCCACCCGGTCCTTGGAGGCAGTGGGTCTATTCCATCACCCTCACCTTCAACTGGACTCTCACAAATGCACAGACTGCCACGTAGAACTTGCCATTGTTAAGGTCAACAAAATCTAGGAGTGGGAAAGAGAACCAGTTGAAGAGGATACTGATCCCTGTGCCTCACCCATATCCTGCTGGCAACAAAATACACCTACCCTACATCCTCACCCACAAAATACTCTCATCCGAAATTAGTACCAAAGTAAGGGAAATGAAGAAGTCACTGTTGCCAGGAAACATACCCACATTCTGCTGTGTGATAGAGTGTGCCCAGCCATTGTAACCAAACATCTCATTGGCCAGATTAATTACCCTGTGACCTTCAATGTAACATACCTGGGAAAAGAAATTAAAGAGGAAAAAAAAAGCTTATTAAAATTCCCTGCCATACTTAAATGAGAATCAAAATTTACTTAATTTACTCCTTACCAGCTTTTTTGGCAAAACTGCCCTTTAACATTCCAGGGAAATTCTCAGTGAACTTATTTTAAAGATCTTCCAGAAGGAACCAGTTAGAACTAATGTTTTGTCTGGAGGGAGGGACTAGACTCAGAGGGGAAAGATATCCACTCACCTAGCAGTTTCCAAAACTCACAGTTTCCAAAAAAGTACAAGTCTCAGGCTGACATATATTATTGAAGACCAAAAATATACACAGAAGTGAAAATTAGAAGCAAAAGGTAAAAGAAACATTTTTAAAAGACGGTGTAACAATCCCAAGATGGCAGGTACGGAAGTCTCAAGACAACACTTCGGTCGCTTCAGATGACAATGACGGCTGGAACCCATCCCCTCCCAAAGACACTAGGAAACATCTAGCAACGGTTAGCAGGAGACCTTCTGAATCCGTGAAGACCCAGAGAGGGAGCGAGATCCTCTGAGTAGCCAGCTAGAGGGGTACCCACTTTTCAAGCATATCAACTCTCCTACCCTCTGGCCTCCTCCAGCCGTGCGGCTACTGATGTATTCCGGGCCCAGCCTCTGCCTCAGAGCATTCTGGATGGCCTGGTACTCTTCTGCTGTGTACTGATACTGCAATCCAGAGAGGAAAATTAAATTGACATTTCCCCCATTCCTACGTCAGCAAGTCTTCAACTTTTTGGTCTCCAGACCCTTTACACTCTTAAAAAGTATTGAGGACCCTAGGAGCTCTTGTTTACAGGGTTATGTCTACCAATACTAGGTATTAAAACTGAGAAACTTCTAAGGCACACCTTCCATCAGCCGTCAAAGCAGCATCCCCCTAGGCCGTGCGTGCTCTGGAGAGCCCCACTGTTCACTCAGAGAGAATGAAAGGAAAAGGCAAGAAGTATTTTAGTATTATTAAGGAACTCTTCTTGACCTCATGCACTCGGAAGAGGTCTGGTGAACCTCTGGGGGTCACTGGGCCACATTTTGAGAGGCATTGCCCTGGTGTCACCACCCTCCTGACAAAACTTTCTCAAGCCAGAATTGGTAAACTAAAACGTCCCGCCTCAGAGTCTGTATATATGTTTAATGCCCGCAAGGGAGTAGGGGAAATACCTCTTCTCTAATTCAACAATTTTCCATCCTACACGTACATAAATATACTACTACTTGTTTTGACTTTTGTCCCCTTGGTAGTTTTCCCCTTGCCCTATTTAAATGAAATACCTTTGAACCAACAGATCTCTGGTATAGACAAAGATGGAATCGAGCGGACAAAGCAAGAATCTCTTTTATATGCACAGAATATCTCCACAAAGAATATGACACCAGAATCTTTGGAACTGGGTGAAATGCGGATAGGAGTGATGGGGAAAGAGTATAAGCCTTTTCATTCACATATAGTCTACGTTTCATTTTGAATGTTTTACCACGTGAATATGTAATCTATCCAAAAAAATAAACAAAATGTAAATCTAAATGTAATCCCCAGTACTAATGCTAAAGTTCCACAATGCCCTGAGAGTTTATCAGACTCCCAAAAAATGCACCTAACGGAAAACCCACTGACAATAAATAGCTTCCAAGTATATGACGATGCTCTACAAATTACTTTCTCCTACCTTTTCACTTAACCTCATTCTTCCCAGGTATGAAAAACACACAGTTACCTGTCCAAAGCATAATACAGAGTTGCCACCAGCAGAGGAAGGATGGCTGCCACGGCCTCCAAGAACTGCTTCCTCAGCCCCAGACATGTTGATTCCGGGTGACCTCTGTAAAAACAGAAGATTTAAAAAGATCTCAAAGAATGCTAAAAGATAAAAAACAGGAGCCTCTATTCAAAATCAGATTAAATCATCCATATGTAGTATCCTACAAGTCGCTTTATTTACTTAACACTTTATTTGTAAGCACTGCCCCAATCAAGGACTAAGTTCCTCAGTGCTTAGCTACCCTCCAACATGGCATTGAAAATCCTTTAGGGACCACTTATACCCTTCTGTTAAAATTCTTGCTAGGGGGCGCCTGGGTGGCTCAGTTGGTTAAGCGACTGCCTTCGGCTCAGGTCATGATCCTGGAGTCCCAGGATCGAGTCCCGCATCGGGCTCCCTGCTCGGCAGGGAGCCTGCTTCTGCCTCTGACCCTCCCCCCTCTCATGTGCTCTCTCTCTCTCATTCTCTCTCTCTCAAATAAATAAATAAAATCTTTAAAAAAAAAAATTCTTGCTAGGGTGGGGGCGCCTGGCTGGCTGAGTTGGTAGAGCATGCGAACCTTGATCTCAGGGTCATGAGTTCAAGCCCCACGTTGGGCATTGAGCCTACTTAAAAAAACAAACCATGAGGGTGCCTGGGTGGCTCAGTTGGTAAGCGACTGCCTTTGGCTCAGGTCATGATCCTGGAGTCCCGGGATCGAGTCCCGCATCGGGCTCCCTGCTCCTCAGGGAGTCTGCTTCTCCCTCTCCCGCTCCCCCCTCTTGTGCTCTTTCTCTCTCTCACTCTCTCTCTCAAATAAATAATAAATAAAATCTTTAAAAAAAAAAAACCATGAAATGTTTGCTAGGGTGATGGTGTTATTAAAGGTGATTTTTATAATTAGAATGTATTATAATTGCAGTATTTATCATTGAAAAAGTCAAAATTACAAAGACACTCCAAGGGAGATTAATCAAGCAACTGATTACTACTACTATATGAACAACATGATCCTGGCCTCAGTGGGGTCAAAAAGGGAAGTATAAGCCAGGGGCACCTGGGTGGCTCAGTCAGTTAAGTGTCTATCTTCAGCCCAGGTCATGATCTCGGGGTCCTGAGATCAAGCCCCATATCGGGCTCTCTGCTCAGTGCAGAGTCTGCTTTTCCCCTCTCCCTCTGCTCATGCTCTCTTTCTCTCTCAAAGAAATAAATAAAATATATGTGTTTTTTAAAAAAGGTAAAAGTCATAATAACTGACCGACTTTCCAGGAGCTAACAAGCTGGCTGGTAGGGGAAGACTAACAGGGAAGTTAAAGAGCAAGAGAGAGCAGTGTGGACAGCCCTAACATTCAGGAGGAATAAAGCGTTAGACCAGTTAGGTCTGTTGCAGCATCATCATCACCTGGGAACTTACTAGAAATGCAAACCCTCAGGTCCTGCCCTAGACCTCCTGGATCAGAAACTAGAGCGGAGGCCCAGGAGTTAGTGCTTGCCCAAGGCACCAGGTGATTCTGACACAAGCTCAAGTTGGGGAGCCAATGCATTAGACTGAGACTATGCAAATGTATAGTCCATTAGAAAACAGAATTACCCTCAGAAGCACCTGCAACTGGCTGACCCACTACCTGACTGACCCCTACACCCGTCTCAGAGCAGATGGATTCAATATTGTGCCCCAGCCTTTCTGTCCCTTTCCAGCGTTCAAGATGTGGAAGCGAGGACATGGTGGGTCCTCCGGTGTGAAATTCCGGATTTCCCTGGGTCTTCCCGTAGGAGCCGTGACCAACTGTGCTGACAGCACAGGAGCCAAAAATCTGTAGATGATCTCGGCGAAGGGGATCAGGGATGGAACCGGCTTCCTGCTGCTGGTGGGGGTGACATGATGATGGCCAGAGTGAAGAAAGGCAAACCAAGTTCAGAAAGAAGGTATATCCGGCAGGTAACTGGACAACGCAAGTCCTACTGGAGAAAAGCCGGTGTGTGTCCCTGTTTCGAAGGCAACGTGGGGGTCACAGTGAACAGTAAAGGCGAACTCAAAGGTGCTGCGGTCACCGGACCAGTTGCAAAGGAGTGTGCACGCGTGTGGCCCAGGGTTGCAGCCGCTGCGGGCAGCACTGCAGGATTCTTTGGTGTGTTCAAAAAAATTTTTAATTATGTGCTCCCAATGTTTGTCTTCCTATTCTTTTCTACCGGTCACCTTTCTTTTTTTTTTTTTTTAAGATTTTATTTATTTATTTGACAGAGAGAGACACAGCGAGAGAGGGAACACAAGCAGGGGGAGCGGGAGAGGGAGAAGCAGGCCCTCCGCTGAGCAGGGAGCCCGATGCGGGGCTGGATCCCAGGACCCTGGGATCACGACCTGAGCCGAAGGCAGGCGCTTAATGACTGAGCCACCCAGGCGCCCTACAGGTCACCTTTCTTGACACCACCCAACCCTTGCCTCCTTTTGTAAAATGAAATCACTCGGTGCAAACTGGCTGTGGGTGTGTGCAAAATAAAGATAAACAGTACTTGGCAAAAAAAAAAAAAAAAAAAGTTGTGCCTCAGCAAACTTGCTTGCTGTAGTCTTCAGGTTATTTGCTGACAGTAAAACTACAGAGCTAGGAATGTTAGGTGGCGGGACGCTCCCATGGCGCCGCAATACAGCGTTTAGGGGCTCAAGTTCCAAACGTCAGTTTCTGGCTATACACCCACTAGGTGCTTGACTAAGGGAAAAAAATCACACAATCTCTCTAAAGGATGTTCTCTCATCTAGAAAATGGACAAAGGAATAATACCTGCATTTCCTCCGGGTTCTGTCGAGATTAACATGATACTGCTTGAAAACTGCATTAGAATAGGACACACAAGAAGTCCTAAAAGGTTAGCTATTGCTAAGTGCGTCTTAACTTTCTTATGTACAGTACGATGAAAATGCAAAAGATTATTTAAATGATCATAAAACACTACATTTCAACTAAGAATGATCAATTATTTCTAATCTGGCACTGAAAAAGTAGAAGGGTGGCCTACACTAGGTTAATTAATTGTCTAAAATGGTTATAACAGGGGCGCCTGGCTGGCTCAGTCAGAAGAGCATGCGACTCTTGATCTTGGGGTCGTGAGTTCAAGCCCCATGTTGGGGGTAGAGAGTATTTAAATAAATAAATAAACTTAAAAAAATAAAACAAAAAATTGTTAAAATAGAATCAATATATTATATACCTGAAACTAATATTATACCCGTATGTTAACTAACTGGAATTTAAATAAAAACTTTTAAAAAAAGAAACACTTCACATATGCTGGGATAGCTACAATAAAAAAGACAGAGAATAACCAATGTTAGTTGAGGATGTGGAGAAATTGGAACACACACATAAACACACACACATACACACACACAATCTATTAAAACAGGTTGGGTGCCTGGCTGGCTCAGCTGATAGAGCACTAGACTCTTGATCTCGGGTTGTGAGTTCAAGTCCCACGTTGGGCACAGAGATTACTTTTAAAAAAAAAACAACCAACAGGGGCACCTGGGTGGCTCAGTCATTAAGCATCTGCCTTCGGCTCAGGTCATGATCCCAGGGTCCTGCGATCAGGCCCTGCATTGGGCTCCCTGCTCGGCGGGAAGCCTGCTTCTCCCTCTCCCACTCCCCCTGCTTGTGTTCCTTTCTCGCTGTGTCTCTCTCTGTCAAATAAATAAATAAAATCTTAAAAAAAAAAAAAACCAACAATTTAAAATTGTTACAACAGGAAATAGTGGAATAAGGATCATATTTAGAATGCAATTGTAAATGCCAGAAAAAATAGTTAAAAGAACAAAGTGGGGAGAGTGCCTGGGTGGCTCAGTCAGTTAAGCGTCTGCCTCAACTCAGGTCCTGATACCAAGTCCCACATCAGGCTCCCTGCTCATCCAGGAGTCTGCTTCTCCTCTACCCTTCCCCCTCCCCCCAGGTGGCTCAGTTGGTTGTGTCCGACTCTTGATCTCAGCTCAGCTCTTGATCTCAGAGTCATGAGTTCAAGTCCCTACTTAAAAAGAAAGAAAAGAATGCAGCGGATCTGTCTCCGACGGGTGGGACTGGGGTGGAGAATAGTGTAGCAGGGATCTTTTTCCAAATAAAACTTTTAGCACTATTTCACTTTCCAATATGTACATGTATTATTTTAATAAAAATTAGAATAAAAAATTTAAAGACCTGTTATATAAAGCAGAGGTCAGCAAACCTTTTCTTTAAAGTGCCAGATAGTAAATATCTTAGGTTTTGCAGGCTACGTGGTCTCTGTCACAACTATACAACTTGGGCCTCTGAGCCAAAGATAATATGTAAACAAATGGGTGTGGTTGTGTCCCAATAAAACTTTATCACAAAAAGAGGTGGCAGATTTGGGCCACAGGCCATAGTGTGCCAACCCCTGCTATAAAGCATGCTTTGAACGTTACAGTCAGACGTGGTTCAATATCCCACCCCACCTAATACATAATACATTATTTAAGTTGGGCAATTACTTAAACTTTCTGTGCTCCAATTTCCTCATCTGTAAAAGGGAATATTAGTAAAATCAACCTCATAAATGTGTCGTATTAAAATGATGTGATAAGGGGCACTGGGTGGCTCAGTTGGTTGGGCGTCTGCCTTTGGCTCAGGTCATGATCCCAGGGTCCTGGGATCGAGCCCTGCATCGGGCTCCCTGCTCAGCGGGGTGTCTGCTTCTCCCTCTCCCTCTGCTCCTCCCCCCGCTCGCGCTCGCTCACTCACTCTCTTTCTCAAATAAATAAAATCTTTAAAAAATAAAATAAAATTATGTGATAATAACAGTATCCAGCAAAAATCATCACTGGGTACTAAAAAGTTGTGGGGGAGACTCACAAAGTTTCAAATGAGCACTTGTTCACTTATTTGTTAAAAATAAAAGGGTATACACTGGGACTGTACCTAATGCCACTGAGTTGCACACTTAAAAATGGTTAAAATGGTTAAAAATTTAAGTTATGTATATTTTGCCACAATAAAAAAAAGGAGGGAGAATAACAACACAATCAAGGTTTATATCTCCTTCAGGCAGGATCTAACCCAGTCTGGGGCCCTGCCCATCCC